CATTATAGTTACAATTTCCTCGAGTGCATCTCTCCCCCACCTTGTCTGTTCAGAAAATACGTGTGAATAACTTCCAATTTAGCAATCTCCTATTTCCCATTGATTATGTGAGACTAGATATGTAAAAACGGCTCTGAGAAGCATCATACAGTCCAATAAAAATAGTTACCTCTCCTGTGTATTGTCCTGAAAAATTAGGTAACCTCATTTTGGTGTTGTTTGATTTACTTCAAAAAATGATTTTGCAAAAATGTCTTGTGTTTGAATCATATTTCAGCTGCTTTCCCCTACCTTCCTTTGACTCAGTCTCTTTCCTCTCTCCTGGTTAACTAGAACTGTGACTAAAGTGGGTTAACCACTTGCTTATTCTTTTAATCACATTAAAGTATTTGTAGAATCATAGGTTGTCATAGCCTTTCTCCTAGACATTTTAGGAAATTCTAGGACCTTTAAACTCTACATCAATCCTTGCCAAAGAGGCAAGTTTTTTTTTAAGGATTACATTTATTTAGGGAAATTTAATAGGTATGACCATTTTTTCTCCTTTCCCTTTCTTACAGGAAGAAACTCGTTCTTAGTAAACCTGTCATTTCTCTACCTTACACACGTTTCGTTTTGCAATCCTAAATGCTCTGGCAGATGGATATCGTCTCATAAAATGATGATATAGTCACATGAGAAAATTTAGGGTTACTTCTTGAAAGGAGTTGAAGAGGTATTGAGTATAACCCCATACAGTTGTAAAGAATCAAGAAGTCACCATGTATATCACTAATTAGCTGCAGAGGTGTTATAATACTACTACCACTAATAAAATAATGATAGCTAGCATTTTTGAGGCTATAATATAAGAACAACAATAACATTTATTGTTTACTTACTTTGTTCTAGAGGTGGTGCTAAGTGCTTTGCTTGAATTATCCAATAAGTCTTGACTAAGTCACCCCTTAATGACACCAGAATCTTTCATTATTTGGCAACTCAGGATCACAGCCTGCAAAGCCAGGCTTTAACTCCATTCTGTACCTTTGTACCAACAGTTCTCAAAGATTTAGCCTCAAAACCCTTTTACACACTTAAAAATTAGGATTGAAGGAGTTTTTATTTATGTAGGTTTTACGTATTGATATGTCTGTATTAGATATTAAAACAGAAATTTAAACAACCCATTATATATTAATTAAATAACATTTTCATGAAACACAACTGAATTTTACAAAACAAACAATCAGCAGGAAGAATGACATTGTTGTCTTTTTTTTTTTTTTCCCAAATATCTTCGATGTCTGGCTTAATAGAAGGCAGCTGGATTCTCATATCAGCTTCTGCATTCAATCTGTTGCAATTTGTTGTCTTGGTTAAAGCATATGAAGAAAAACCAGCCTCATACAGATATGTAATTGGACATGGGAAGATTATTTTAATAGCCTTTCCATGAAATTGTGTTATTCTTTTCTTTGATACTACCCCAAACTCTACAAGTAGTAGTTTCAACTTAAAGGTTAGGTGCAATGTGAAATCTGAAACCATCTCAATGAATCAATCTTTCCTACTCTGTACACTAAAAATGGTAAGTGAAAAGGCACTCTGAGAACCTCTGGTATAAGTCTAGGAAGGTAAGAAATAGTCCAACCAGCTCAAGACCGTGAGTAGACATATTTATGCCTTATTTCAATAATTGTCTTTCAAGCCTGAGACAGAAAAGAGACAAATGATTATTTCCTCCCAACCCTGCCAAGATATAGACAGGATGGAGACAATATCTCTAAAGTAATTGAGAGCTCTGGCATTAAATAAACATGAAGCTGTGATCCTAAAATTAAGTATGCTATTGTTCCCCTTGAATAAATTGAAATAAGAAACGAATCGAGATGGTAGATGCTTTCTTAGAGTGGCATGATAAAGTACCACTAATCATACTCAAAGCCTTTAAAATAAGCCAGTATTAATAATGCTAAAATTGTTGAGTGTCCAATGCATTGCTAATTTTATATCTTGAAATAAAAATTTTCACCCTGAACATTCTGTAAAGGAAATTGCTATCCATTTAACTCAGGAGGACTTAAATACATTAATGTTTTTAAAAAGGAAGAAACAACACTTTGGTCACTTAGATCACAAAGCCTTATTTATTTATGTGTGACTTATGAAACTGCATGCTTCAACTTTTTATAAACTAAGCACTAACCTAAATAAGAAATACATTTTTGCAACATTTACTCTTTTTTCTTCTCTTTTATTAGTATGCTTTAATGGTGCTTCTATTTGCTTTGCAACAGTGAAATCATTTTATTTCTACTTGAAGATTTGCAAGAGTCTTGTCTACCTGTAAACTTTCCACCTATTAACTTGCATTATATTTTCATTACAGTAAGTTGTTACTAATGATACACATGAACTTTAATACAGCTTTTTTCTTGAGGGTGGAGAGGGAATATTTATGTATTTATATAAATCATTTTATTGGGAGAAATGTCTTACTTGTAAGTAAGTATATTTCTTATGTTTTTTGTTTAAAATAACAAGTTAAATTTTTTTATAAGAAATAGAATGGTCATCATTGAGTTTTCTGAATATAGTTGATTGTCATTTTAGACGATTAAGAGATTGATCCAAAATTATTTGTTCAGATTTTCCTCTCCGTTAGATGTAAAGATATAGAGACAGGTAGAACAGAGTTATATAAATTTCACAAACAATAAACCTAAAGCATTCATTCCCCTACACTTTTTATTTTCTTAAAGCAGTACCATGAGCATAAGAACTAGAGATAATCCATTTCAGTTATTTGTCACTGTTCAGCAAATTTTGCGGTGCTGATATCCTTTGGTTCCCTGCCCAACACCAAGGTTTTATACAGCATATTTAAAAAAATCATTATTGCAGAAATATTTCATGACACTCTAACACTTCTTATCAAACATCCTCTCTGTATCTTGCTGCTCAGCTCCGAAAAACAAATGTTGAAATATAGCTACCTTAGAAAAAAATCAAATATGTCAAACAACATTAGCTACTGCTCCAGAAATAATCCAATGGGGGGAAACAAATGAACAAACAAATCCCAGAAAACATGGGAACAGAGGCATTATGTTTTTGTTTTGTTTTTCTTTGCTTTAAAACTTCGTTATAGATTTCAGGAAGTTAGACTTTTACATTTGAGCTCACGTTGTTAAGAAGAAAATAAAACTTTATAGTTTATATGTGAACACTGGTGTCGGGTGTTTTCTGATGCCAAATACCTGGTGTCTTTTCCAACACCAGTTCTCCAACTCTGATTCTCTGACACCAACTGCATGTCCTACAATTCAATCCTATTGTGACACTAACTACTCAGAGTTAGCATCAGATTCCATAGGTTTAAGGGTTCAGTCCCGTAAGACTGCCCTCACTTCAGACCACAATTACAGGTACCACCCACCTCACCCTCTCCGCCTTACCTGGACTTATGTCTGACTTGGCTACAGATTCCAGGGTACTCACAGCCACCCTCTGCCACTCCCACTCAAGTTTGATAATTTGCTACAGTGACTCACAGAACTCAGGAAAATACCATACTTACCATCACAGTTTGTTATGAAAGATTAAAATGAGCAGCCAAATGGAGAGGTACAAAGGGTGAAGTCAAAAGTGTCCTGAGGGCAGGAGCCTCTGTCCCCGTGGAGTTGGGGGGTGCCACCCTACCAGCACATGGATGTGTTCATCAGCTCAGAAGCTCTCTAGTTCCTACTGCTTTGGAAGTTTTATGAAAGTTCCATTATGTAGGTGTGATTGATTAAAGCATTGGTCATTGGTGGTTAAACTCAATCTCCATCTCCCTCTCTGGAGGTGGTGAGAGGAGGGGAAAGGTTGAAAGTTCCAACCTTCTTATCACAGCCCCAACCCTGAAGCTGTCTAGGGGCCCACCATAGTCACCCCATTAGCATAAACTCAGATATGTTTGAAAGGGGCTCGTTAAGAGTAACAAAACATGCTCCTGTTACTCTTATTACTCAGGAAATTCCAAAGGTTTTAGGAACCAGGAACAAGACCAAATATATATTTTTTATTATACCACAACTGGGTTTCCTCCAGGTGGTAGAGAAGAGATTTTGAGGCTGGGCAAGAAGAGATATTTTGCTTTCCATCTAAACATTACCAAATCTCTTCCCTAGCCACACCCACTGTATCAGTTATCAATTGCTGCCTACCATACAAGCCCCCCAAATGGGAGTCGCTTAAAACAACAATCCTCTCACACTTCTGGAGGAACAAGAATTTGAGCATGGCTCAGCTGGGTACCTCTGTCTCAATGTCTCCCATGAGGATGCAGTCAAGCTGTCAGCCAGGGCTGTGATCTCATCTGAAGACTCTACTGGGGTGGAGCATCTGCTCCCAAGTTCACACGTGCGGCTCTTGGCAGACCTTGGTCCTCACCATGTGGACCTCTCCATAGGGCTGCTCATGGCAGCTTGTTTTCCAGAAAGCAAGTTGATTCAAGTGAGAGAGAACAAGGAAGAGTCCCCAGGATGGAAGCCACTGTCTTTTTATAACGTAGTCTCAGAAGTGATATCCCATTACTTCTGCCATATTCTGTTCATTAGACATGAGTCAGTAAATCCAGTGCACACTCAAGCAGAGGGATTACGCAAAGGCATTGAATACCAGGAGGTGGGATCATTGAGGCCCATCTTAGACGCTACCTACCACATCCACCCTAACATAATGGATCTTGATTTGGTAAATGATAAGAAGCACTGGACAACAGATGAGAAAGGAAATTGTAAAGACATTTGTCTTGTTTCTTTGTCACTTTTACTTTCTCAAGCTCCTCCAAAGCTTTGCTCAAAGTACTGTGGCTGATCAAAACCAGTTCTGATTAATTTTATAGTTAGTAGCTGGATCTCAGCAAGAAAGCTATATACAATCAAAGGAGTAAAATCCCAGTAGAAGGAAATCAGTCTAACTTTACATATTTACTGTCAAATATGTAATAATCTCATATGCCCATTTTTTTAAAGGGAGAACCAGGTTTCATTGGTCCTCAAGGAGAACCAGGCTTACCAGGGTTACCAGGAACAAAGGTAAACGTAGTGTTTTTCCCTTCCTTCCTTTCTGAAATTTTTGATCGTATATTTTTAGTCCATTGTGTTCCTTAGGTGACCAGATATTTTTGCCTAATGGAGAACTAAAGCAGCTCAGCACCTATTCCTAACACTTCTAATGGGAATACCATGTTAAATAGAATAATAGGAAGTTAATTCCAGAAAGCCTTAGGCAAAACAACAGGATGGTGGAATACATTCATTGTTCCAGTTGTCCCCCAAATTGTACCTAAATTGATATGATGCTATTAGTCTCCTGGCCATATGGAAAAGTGAGGGAATTCTGAGGAGGAGAGGTAGAACTCATTCACTCCTGCCCCTCGTTACCCATTTTAAGACATACGCATAAATCAAACATTATTACTATTCCCCCATCACTCCCTAGATTGCAAAGGCAAGTACTGACGTCATATAGATTCCTAAGTGTCTCATCCCAAAAGGATCCATCCTGAATAACGTCCGCAGAAAGATTCTGTAATGAAAACCATCTCGTGATCTTCCACTTGGCAACCTGAGAGAGGGCCCTAAAAGCAAAATCTATATGCTGCCATATAAAAAACTAGGTTGCTGTGGATACAGTCAGAGCCATAGTTCCCTTTTTATCTACCCAGTAAGACATAAAAAGGTACAGCTCTGAGGATGGAACTTTATTCATGACAGACTCATGAATCAAAGAAGGAGCAAAATTAGATCAAACTACTTTCTTTTATTTTTAAACCATAGCAGTTTTGCCTCAATGTGTATTGCATTCAGCAGAAATAAGCCAGGATGATTTCCAAGAGCTCGAGAAATATGTTCATGGTTTGTTCTGACAGAGGAGTCCTCATTCCGCTGGTCAAGAGAAAATAACTCTAATCCTAGTCAATGGAAACTATGTGTGGCCTAAAGGGAGACTAAAACTCTGTCGAATTTATGTAAAATTACTGCTTGCTCAGCAATTTCTTTTTCACATAATGAGCTGTCAAGCTTATTAACAAAATATGAGGAAAGCCTGTTTTAGCCTGAACAGATGTACACACGAAATGCACGTTCTGGAATAAAAAGAGCTAGAACAAAAGAATAATGAGCATTCTGTGTTCATGTCAGAACTCTCGTATTTATTCAGGCTTGCAGCCTCAGAACCAGGTAGAGAAAGAGGATTGCTTTGTGGATAAGCACAAAGAAACGGGAAACCTGGTCAGTGCTGGAGAGGACCGGGCGTGAACATGATCTCTAAATGTTTGTGGCATTTTGTTTGCTAAGCAGGGGAAAATAGGAGAAACACAGACTGTGGAGTGTAGAGTTCAGCCCTAAATATATTTTCTTTTGTTCACTTATTTTAAACTCTTCCACAGTCAAAAAAATCCAGATGTAGAGCCGTAAAATCAACATTAATTACTGTTCATGAAGAACCCAGCCTGATTTTACAGAACAGATACTTTTATAACAGATACTACTCTGAACTCCCAATAAAAGTAAAGACTGTACTGTAACTGTTTTGTATTTCCACAAGAGGGATATGAATAAGAAATTCATTTAACAATATTCTGAAGTTAATTTTCAGCTGAATTACCTATCTAACATGAAATTGGTATCATAATGGAAAAGTCATGATTATTTAAAAATCTCTTTCAGCCAAACACTAGTCTTTTACCGGTTGCGTAGGCAGTCTGGATTTGTACCAGTAAATTCAGATTTTAAAAATAAACTAAGTCTTCATATTTTATCCCCAACACAGTGAAGAGAGATCATAATGAAGAAATACGTATAATTGCATCTAAAAATCTGTTTTATGTACTGCTGTATTCTCAGCATCTGTATAGCGCCTGAGAGAAACCTCCATCAGTCTAAAGAAATAGGACTTTATTATGAATAATTTAGAATACTTTGTATAATATTGTTTAGTCATTAATTCAACACATTTTTTTCCAGACATTTTTCTAGTATTTGAGAATGGGGAATAAATGCAACAAAAACAGTGTCTACTCTACTGAAGCTTCCACTGTAATATGTGTAAGAAAGGGGTGGAAGAAAAGAAAAAAGTACACAAATATGTAATGTAATTCCAGAGAGAGACTAATAAGCAACTGATTACGGGCATGATGATAATAAGTGATTCTAGGTAAACGTATATAGACTCCACTACTCTGGTAAATACTACAGAGAAATGATTTTCTAAAATTTTTGTTTTTCTCTAAAATAAGATTATAGTTACCATTTTAGAATTCTTCTGTAAAATATTAAGAGCAACACCAAACATGGTATATACATATTTAAATAAAAATTCCATATACCAGCAAAAGTGCTTCAGTCTCTAATCCCTGGAAAATCCCTTCTGGAGCACCTTTTCCATCTCCTGCATCCAATCAAGTCCCTTGTCTTTCTCTCAACCTCTCCATTGTCCCACCCCCTTTTGGTTCATGCTGAGAAACCTACTGAGTCTTCTTCATCCTGGCCCTAATCTATCCCACCTCCCCTGCAAAACCACAAAGGTTTCCCACAGTGGGCATGATACAGACAAAGATCTTGGAATTTAAATCCCTACATCACCCATAACAGATCGAAATCCTACTTTCTTTTCCTTTCCAAGACGAATCAGTCCTTCAGTGAGAAGGGTGCCTCCCTCATCCATAAACATACCATCACCAGAAATCAAAACTTGTTTGATTATTGAAATTCTACCCATCGTGCAGGAAGATGAACACTCTCAAGTCTGTGTTCAGGGAGTGTAAAACAGCACCATCTTCCTGAAGGGCGATTAGCTAGCTTTTAAAATGTTTATACTTTTTGACACAGCCATTTGTCTAGCAGGAATTTATCCTAAGAATATGACCAGAGATGTGCAAAAGATTTACATACAAAAACATGTATGCAAAAAATTTACATACAAAAACATGTATGCAAAAATTTACATGCAAAACATGTTTTGTATTTACATACAAAACATGTATACATACAAAAATCATGTATGCAAGATTTGCATACAAAACATGTATGCGAGGTTTACATACAAAACATGTATGAAGACTGACTACAGTCAGTTCTATATTACAGCTCTCCCACGTTAAAGGCTCTGGGCAAGTTATTTAACCTCTCTGAGCTTCAGTTTCCTCATCTGTAGACTATGGATACTAACACCTTTCTCATTTGTCCTGGGAATTAGATAGGATAATGCAGGTAAAGTGTTGTGTGCAGTTCCTGCACTCATCAATAGCACAGTTATAAACAGTGATAATTATAATATACACCCTACCCCATCCTTCAGGACATGACCCAAGTCTCACCAAAAGGAAGTCAGTCTGGACCACTGAAAACCCTGTGGAGTTTCTTCTTCTCTCACATATGGCCTTACATTACTCCTTAACTCTTAACTATTTTGTTCATGTGGATCTTTTCTAACTAGAGCACTAGGTCCCTGTGGGCAGTGACCATGCTCATCCTTCCCAGAGCTATAAACCTAGTAAAAGCTGTAACACCTCTGGATCTTGTACAATGCCAAGCACTTTCCGTTTCTAGGTTATGAAACCAGTACTCTAATTTTCTCCATTTTACAGAGGAAACTGAGGCTTTCAGAACTTAACTAACTTTCCCCAAAACACAAAACTGGTAAGTATTCCAGAGCCAGGAGTAAAGCCCAGAAAATCAAATTACAAAACTTGGCACTTAGCCATGTTGCCCTGCTTCGGAAGATCTTAAAAAGTTGCTGCAGACTGAAAACTATGTCCATGCCTGTTGTGAGGTATTAATGATGGCCCTTATCAATTCCCTTTAAAGGTCTTTCTAGGACTTCCCTAGCAGTCCAGGGGTTAAGACTCCGAGCTTCTAATGCAGGGAGCACTGGTTCGATCCCTGGTCAGGGAACTATGATCCCACATAGGGCGCGGCCAAAAAAAAAAAAAAAAGTCTTTCCATTTACCAACATAGGCATCTGACAGGCATTTACCAAACCATTTCTTTGTCTATAAAACGGGAATGAAAATGCAAACGTTGAATTTTTTTTTTTTTTTTTTTGCGGTACACGGGCCTCTCACTGCTGTGGCCTCTCCCGTTGCGGAGCACAGGCTCTGGACGCGCAGGCCCAGCGGCCATGGCTCACGGGCCCAGCCGCTCCGTGGCATGTGGGATCTTCCCGGACCGGGGCACGAACCCGTGTCCCCTGCATTGGCAGGCGGACTCTCAACCACTCCGCCACCAGGGAAGCCCTGAATAATTATTTTGATTATTAAATGAGATAATCCATGTTGAGGTTAATACAATGCCGAGTATGTGGTAAATAAATAGTAACTTTCTGCTTTCTTTGATTTTATTCAACTCACTCATTAACCTACAGGGACTAGCTGGGGGTGATAGGGGGCGCCATTTACCTATTTTGCGATTTGTGACAGGGCGACCGTGGGGAGGCAGGGCATCCTGGAAGAGGGGATCGAGGGGAGCCTGGAGCCCCTGGACCAAAGGTCAGTTATTCTCACACTGGAAACAACATTCTCTGGTTTGGAAATGTGTGCCACTTACTTTAGAACATGCAACTAAAATAAAATTATTCAAGGGGTATTAAAACAGCCAAAATCACAAATAATTCATTGAAATTCACACCAATTCGTTATTTTCTAAAAAGGGTTTTACAATTCAACTTTTCCAGTTTACTCTGTTCTGTTCAGTCAACAAATTAATAACACATCCAAATATAAATCAGGAGGTACTGTCACACTAACACCTTACCACTCGATGTATATTAAAACCTACTGAGGAAAATGTGGAACCGTGTTGTGTTAGTTTCTGTGGTAATTTGATGGTGTGTAACACCTTGAAAGTATGAGAGCTAAGGATTTATTTGACTTTTCAATCTATTCCTCTAAACTTCCTGCAAACTAGTATGGTAACACTTTATTTTAATAACCCATCCTAGAGACACAGGAAATGATTTACTCTTTGATGAAAAGGAAATTTATGCAAACACTGTTGAGACTAATGAGAATTAGTCACAGAATGCTTCCCATCCGCTGATGGGTGGGCAGTCTTCAGAATTATAATGGCATGAAGGTTGGTGGAGAGACCAGGGAGTGAACTAATGATACGGTGATAATACCTATGTTCAGTGTTGTAACAGCCTACATTATATGGAGTATATTGAGGCAGTTAAAATAAAGTGTTTCCATTTTTCTGTATTATCCTGAGTCACTGCTAATTTCTTTTTTTCTGTTCTTATCTCCCTCTGTCATGTTCTCTTTTTCATCTTCATATTCTTCTATAATAGGGGAAACAAGGTGAATCAGGAACTAGAGGCCCAAAGGGGTCAAAGGTCAGTAACTGGGTAACCATTTTAATGTAACATGAGGCCGTCATGTAACATGTGTCTCTTCCACAGAGAATCATGTTTTAGATTAAACTCTTTCACACACTAGGGTTGCAGTAATTTCATCCCTATGATGACATCTCAGAACAGTTGGTTTGTTTCATCTTGTTTGTTTTTCTGTTCTGTGCTTCAGACCATTCTTTATGAGAAATTGTATTTCCTGTTTCCTATGTGTAGCTTATTTGGAAAAAATTAAGTACTTTACTTCAATTATATACAGTATAATCTTATTTTTTATTTCCTGGCTATCTTTGTGATAAATGTTCAGATTATACTTTGCTTTCAAGTCAGGTGACTCCCTTTATTCCATTAAAATTTCACCACTAATTGAAATTCTCTCCTTTATCATGCTCTTTATATAGTACCTGCAATAATCTATATACTACTAGCAGAATCATGTTATTAATCATGCTAATAATGTGGAAAATGGGGAAAACAGCAGAAATTAATAATTCCCCATTCATAGCAAAATTTTATTATTATGGTCAATGTTATTAGCATAATGTGGATAGAAAAATTATAATCCCTTTTCCTGCTCATCTTCATTGGTCCTTATCCAGTTTATAAGAAAGACATATAGAAATGCTTTGAATTCTATTTAGGAAAAGGACCCTGTAAATTTTAGGCTATTTTAAAGAACCTTCAAATCTACCCAGGTTCAAATCTCTTCTCCAAAATTTCTGTTTAGACTTCTGAAAATTCTGAGTGTTCTCAGTGATGCATTTGCAGTTTGAGGTTTAGATGATTCCTGGTGTCTCTTGGCGGGGATGGGAGGTAGTCATCACACCATAAATGGACATTTAGAGACTTTTCATGTTGCATTGAAAAAAGAGAAAGCTGTGTTTGCCCAGATCTTGACCTTCAGCCCCGCCAACCTGGTCCAGCTAGCTGCTGTCCACTTCAGCACTTTCTGAGGGCTAAGAGACCTATACCTCTAGAAAACTTTTCCTTAGATCTTCATCATCAGAGGGAGGCCCAGCTGGTGACCTTTCCCTCCTAAATCTCCCTAGAATGACTTCTCAGAAAACAGACAACCCAATTAATTGGTTGCCTCTTTTCCGCCTTGCCCCAAATCTCTTCATATACAGGCAGGAACATAGCTCAGTCTGAGAGGTAAAATCTTGCTTTGGGTGTCATAGAAACCACTTGCTTTGCTTTTCAAGATCCCTAGGAAGCAAGTTACCATATGTATTGTTGTTTCAAAATACTCTGTCATCTGCAGGGGGAAGTTTAATTCACTTCGGGGGCCATCTTAAAGAAGCATTTGCCATGTCAGTGGTTATTGTATTTCTAGTTGTTATTTTCCACTGCAGAAGTTCATATTAAAAGTGTTGCTGTATGGTGTTAAATACATCCTTAGATTTGAGATATTTCTGGACTGTTGGCCTCACTACTAACTCGGTTTTCTTCTCTTTTCACTGGGGAAAGGGTGACCGTGGAGACAAAGGGGACTCTGGAGCCCTGGGACCAAGGGTGAGTGTGTCTCATCTACTCTTTTGGCCTCCAACAAGCCTAGATTTGAAGTGTGTGTCTATGTGGCTTTTCACAAGGCACTTGGACTAATAATACCCAACAATAGCGCTGGACGTAGACTACTGTGACTATTCCTGCTACTCCCCCCTTTCTTCTTATTTTTTATTGTAGTCACCAGGAGCACTGAGTATACAGACTGGAACACGTAAGATAAGCCCATAAGGAGAAGGTCTAAAGAACTCTTTCTATCTACTTCCCCTCTGCCAAATGAGCAATAGCAAGCCCATAGCCATCCACCTAATGGAACTTTCCACTTTTCAATTAACTCAATTAAAAAGAAAGCAATAGTCCATATTTTCAGAACCTTTTTAAAGCACAGGCAGGGAATTAGGACATGACTAATGGAAATTCAGTGGCAGAGCTACTGAGTAAGATAGACATCTTAAAAATATTTGTTCCCTCCTTATAGGTACTGTTCAAGTACAGTGTTCCATCTTCTTAAAAAATGAAGAAGCAATCTATGAGGTGTAGATGAGGAGAGAGAGGTCAGGAGTTGCTTTAATAAATATAGATAAAGCCAACAAAATTTTGCAAGTCAAATCAGATTAGCCTACACATTATAATTTTTAGGAAACAGCTTTTGAGATTGAATTGTATTTCTTTTTTATCCAATTTAATATATTTAACCTACCACAGACAGGAAGTTAGAAGTAGTTTGCCTCCTTTGAAATAAGGACAAACGTTGAACATGATTATCTATTCTAAAGTACATTTGGGCCTTAGTCGGGAATCGACGGTCAGAGAGAGCTGTTCGCTGCTATTTCCGTTTTCGCCACAGTCCCTTCTTCATCCTAGCCTAACCCCCATGATGTTCTCTTGGCTGATTTTTTCATAGGGTCCACCTGGTCAAAAGGGAGATCAAGGAGCCACCGAGATCATAGACTACAACGGCAACCTCCACGAAGCCTTGCAGGCAAGTGACTGCTCCCTGCCTTGATACAGACAATGACACTGATGAGACCCTTGTAATGTGTGTAACTATCAGCTTCCACCCCACCCCCCTCAGATCTCAGAGGGCTCCACCGCTCAAAGCACACCTTCCCCCTGATCTCCTGAACCCATCTTCTTCTCCCTGCCCCAGTTTATCCTCTTTATTTCCTAGCATTTTTCAATCTTTCCTTCTCTTTCCCTTCTACCTTCAGATGTGCTTTAGTCAGTCTCATCTTAAATCTTGTACTGGTTTGGCCAAGCTTTGTCTCCTTGCTTGATACATGAACCTAGCAAAGCCATTAAAAGCCCTGTGGCTCTGGAGTTTGAGCTGCCTGGGTTCACATCTCTTGCTTACTAAGTGCATGAGCTAGGGTTGTCGTGAGTAGATGACTAAGTACATATTATACACTTAGAACAGTGCCTAGCACATAATAAGTCTCTTATAGGTATTTCTTGCTACCGCTCCTGTTCAATTCTTTTTCTTCTGTTAACAAAAAGCCATAGACTGTGTGGCTTCTCTCCATCACCTTTGCTTCCTATTTATCCTCTTCATACTTAGACTCCACGTTGTAGCTTGTACCATTATTTTGTTGAAATTTCTCTTATAAAGGTCAACAATAACCTCTAGGTCAAGCCATTGTACTCATCACTCTTGACTTTTACGTGACATTATACTAAACCACCTTCCTTTTGAAACTCTTTCTTTCTGGTTTCTCCAACCTTCTACTCTCATTTCTTCCAGTTTTCTTCTTGGATGGATCCACTCTATTTTAGTATTTCCAATTTCTCTGTCCACCCCCTAATTCTGGGTATTCTCAAGTCTCTGATCTTTTCTTGGTATAATCACTCCCTTTGTGTTCTTTCCCATGATGCCTTCCAAGTCTTTCACCTCCAGGTCTGATCTGCATATACCTCTAGCTTCCCAGGAATATGTCCACTGTGGATGCAACACTGCCTTGTCAACTCTCACCAATACATACAATTATACTGGTTACCTTTCACACCTACCAAATGATTCCCTTTCCCAACTAACCAGTTTCTGTTAATGAAACCACAAGTTTTCTAATTTCTTGAGATGGAAACTTTAGTGTCATTTAAAAACTATTCTTTGTCCTTCATCCTTTATATCTCACCAGAAGCTACTGTTTCCTTTTTCAAAGTATCTCTTGAGGCTGCCCCACTCTCTCCGTTCCCGGCTAGGTCTACATGTTGTTTATATCAGATCTAACACCGCAATGAGCCCTTAACCAATTCCTCTACCCCTAGTGCCTCCTTGCTCTTCTAATCTTTTCCTATATATCACTCCAAGGTTAATTTTCCTAAACTATCACTATTTTGATGACTCTAATCTGTTCGGAAACCTAAGTGACCCTCTTGCCTACTCTATCAAGCCCAAACTCCTCCATCTGACTTTTAAGGCCCTATAACCCTGCCTTTCCTGTACAGAATTTTTTATTTCTCCACAACATATTTATCATATCTATAAAAATAACCATCTTTTTATCTGGTTCATCCATTTTCTTTCATTCATCCATCTAAATCCTATCCAACAATTCACTGCTGCCACCCAGGTGAATTTCTCCTCTGAATCCTTTTAAATATTAGCAGTCAGGACCCAGTAGTTTAACATTTAATTATTCTGAAATTCCACAATTTACTTTAGTTTTACCTCTTACCAGATTGTAAATTACTTGTTGACAGGAAACTCATCTTACGCTTATTTTATCTCCCCCAATGTGTCTGACCCAGGTCTAGGCATGTAAATATTAAATAAACTTACTGGTTGAATTCGTAAGTATACTTCATTCATATGCACAATCCATGTTTTTGCTTGAAAGCCAAATTAGCTGTTTTAAATATTTTCCATTTTGTACTTGTTTGATTTTTTTTCAACCCATATGATTTCACTAACATTATCTAATTATGGTAGATTTACATTTCTATGGGTCCTTTGTTACAACTATCATTTTTAAATAGTAAAGCATTTATTAAATAGTTTTTACAGAATCCATCTTCAGCCTTGTATTTTTCTGTTCTTTTTATTCTTTTTCTTCTGGTAAAGCACATAGAGACACATGCTTACTGCTTAGAGAAACATTACTTGGGCAGTGTGTTCGGTCAACAGCTTGAATTAGGGTTCCTCAGTGCAAGTGGACTAGACTCAAGCAGTAGCCTCTGGGCTGTTGTCAAATTCTAGAACCAGTTTTCTAAATTGTTCCCTTTTTCCCACAAGTTGATAACTGCATGTATAAAGAAAGAGAAAGAACAGGAAGTTTTTGTTACTTACTATGTTGTCAGAGTTCTTACTTCTAAAATATAGGGTCACATTTTTCAACTTTATTAGCAATATTGTATATTTCCCTTAAACTGCTTCCAGTGGCACCATAATTCTTACAACTACCTTTAAGAGGTATCCACTCTCTTATCTTTCAAGATATGCTCCTATGTTATTGGCCATGGCCATTTTCTGGAAAGACTGTGGAAGAGTTTTAAAGCCTTTACATGAACAGAGCCTGGCATGAAGCAAGCTACCCTCAGTCTAAAACTGAAATCTGCTTTGATTTCCCCTCTGTTACTAACTAGCTGAGTCACTTTGGGGAAATCACATAATGTATCTATATTTCATTGATCTGATCTGTAAAATGAGGATGATTTGGAATGGATTTTTTCTAAGAGTCCATAAAATCTAATATTATGCTTAGGGTTATTTTTTTAGGAGCTCCTGAATACTCTTTGCTGATGTGCCAAAACGCACTGTACTTTTAAAAAAAAATCTAACACCTACATCTTGATATGAAAGAATAGATGTGCTCAGTTTCTTTTTTCACCTCGAGTTCTATATGACTGTAAACCAGTCAGTATCCATCACAGCCAACTAGTTCATGTTTATGCCTCAACCTAAAGATTTATTATTCTTGGGGGGTTGTTTAGGCAACTATGTGTTGTGCTTGTAAATAGCTTAAAGGGTTTTTTTTTCACTTCAAAACTCTTTGTTTTTCCAATATAGTACTCTAGTGAATTAAGAGTCGCTAATAAATAAACTAAATAGCCATTAGATTGAGAGGAAGGAATAGACATTTGTTCTTCTAGTTCTCTAACCAGTGATGGATATTCAGTTTTGCAAATTCCATTTCACTGTTGCCTCCTCTAGAAAAAATCTGCCCCAAAATCTGGATACTTAGATAAATAAGTGCATATTACAATTATAAAAATATCACTTAGAAATATAAAATTTTACTGTTGCCTCTACTGAAAATTGTTACAGGTATACCTCCTTTTATTGCACTTCACTTTATTGCAATTCGAAGATACTGTATTTTTTTACAAATGGAAAGTTTATGGCAACCCTGTGCCAAGCAAGTCTATTGGTTCCACTTTTCCAACCGCATTTGCTCACTTCATGTCTCTCTGCCACATTTTGGTAATTCTCACAACATTTCAAATGTGTTCATTTTGATTATATTTGTTATGGTGATCTGTGATCTTTTTTTTTTTTCCTGGCTGTGCCGCATGGCTTGCAGGATCTTAGTTCCCCAACTGGGGATCAAACCTGGGCCCATGGCAGTGAAAGGGCTGAGTCCTAACCACTGGACCACCAGGGAATTCCCTGTGATCAGCGATCTTTGATGTTACTATTGCAAAAAGACTGACTCTCTGAAGGCTCAGATGATGGTTAGCATTTTTTTAGCAATAAAGTTTTTTTATTGAAGTGTAGTTGATGTACAATATTATGTAAGTTCCAGGTGAGCAATACATAAAGTGATTTACTGTTTTTAAAGGTTATACTTCATTTATAGTTATTATAAAATATTGGCTATATCCCCTGTGTTGTACAATATATCCTTGAGCAATAAAGTATTTTTCGATTAGGGTATGTACACTTTTTTTAGACATAATGCTATTGCACACTTAATAGACTAGAGTACAGTGTAAACAAAACTTTTATATGCACTGGGAAACCAAAATTTGTGTGACTTGCTTTATTACGACATTCACTTTATTTCGGTGGTCTGAAACCCTAACCCGCAATATCTGAGGTATGCCCGTATTTACATGAGCATTTGTCATAAGCCGTTTATTTTGATTTTTATTTAAGGTGGTTATGTTTCCACAATTAGCAGTAAAACCTTTCATTTCCTACCTCAAGCTTTTAAAATTTCTCAACACCATATAAACTAAACCTCTTCTCTAGTGTAAATCAGGGGTGATTTTAAGCTTGCATCATTATGAGACGTGAAAGAAAATAATTTTTAATTCTACAGAGATTCACATAAGCATCTCAGAGAATAAATCACAAAGCATCCTGCTAGCCTTCAACCAATTTACAGCTTCTTTAACTCATGCCTCCCATTTCACATCATGCCTCAGTAGAGAATGACATGTCTTTCTCCATCACTACCAAAAATTCTGGTTTTCAAGTCATTACTGAAGTTCAACAGAGAACCCTGCTGAGTTTATGTAGTTTTAACTTAGAGGAACCAGATACGAGAAATCCAAAGTGAGCCAACATCTTTAGGACGTCTCTGAGTGTCTGCCCACTGGTTCTTCAAGATGGCAGTTAAAACTATGTTTTTGAGTAGTTAGCTTAGTTTTCTATCATTTGTTCTTCTGTTAACTGGGTGGAACCTGCCATGTATAATTTTTAGGTCTAACAAATATAGTTATTTAACAAGCTTATTTAAACCCCTCCTGTTATAGTTCAGTTTCCAATAATAATGTTCTTTTATTTAGGCAACTCATTTTAAAGCATGTTGTTATCCTTGAACTTTAAAAAAGACAAGCTAGTTTTGTGCTTAGGTGGAAAATGAATCATACATGGCTCAGGTTGGAAAACCTCTGAGACTTTAAATTTTAAACTCCTTCCCTCTCCAAGGTTTTATGTTTTTGCTGTCTAGTTAAAAATGTTATTTATAATTGGAAAGTAATGATAAAGAAATTATTTCTACTCTATACTTTTCTAATAGCCTTTTTTAAATGACTCATCTACCCATATAGGAGCAAAGAAGTAGCTTTCTCATAATCGTAAATTCAACTCTTGGTTTAGGTGAATCCCTTAAGAATAAAATAAGTAGTGCCTTATGTTACATAGATATGATGGTATAAAAATCTGGGCCTTAACTTTTTTATAACCTTGCCCCAGTTCGTGGCCATTTTGCCTTCTATTTTAGAAGCACTGGTTATTTTTTCCTACCCCGTCTTCTCTGAAGCTGTAATGACCGTGATTGATCTTATCATGGAATACAAACTTGAACCATCTGTACACGGGCATAAATGTATTGTTTTCTAAGGAATGATGCACCATATCACTAAAAACTCAAGTGTTTGAAGTGAGATGGGTGGATGATGTTAAGATTATTTTTTACAACAACGACAATTAAAAAACAGCACCAACACCTTGAATTAGAAATTGGAAGGGAGCAGTGGAAGACAAAAAGATGGAGTTAAACCGATAGTCACAAGTTTACATGTAATTGGACAGTGTTTGTCTAGGACCAGAGCTCCTAATGGAAAATGTTCTCTCCCCTAAAATCGCATAAAGTGGTACAGGCGTTACAGAAGTTTTTGTACAGCACTTAGACTAGAAAATCTTAAAACAAAAATGGTTTGTGGATTGGGGATTGGTTGTTTTAGAAATTCATACTTTGAGAGAATATATTTTGGTACAGTATTCAAGCCCTTTACATTAAGAAACAAGGCGAATCCCATGTCAATTCCTGTCTTAGTCATGGCACACACACACAGACACACACAAACACACAGACACGCACAAGCTAATTATAATGCACCAATTGAGATACAAACTAAAAGAAAAAAATATTACTTATACAATTAGATATTTCCGTTTTCTCTAATCAAAGTACTCTAGAAATAGAGTTTTTATGAATAGGAAAGTTTCTCAGCTCCCAATTCTGCTGACAAGCCACCAGTGTACACCATTTTACTTCATAATTTAAATCAGTGAATTAAAATGTTGACATTTCTTTTTTCTTTTTCCATAGATTTTTAAATAAAATTCTAAAAAGAATTTTTAAAAGAATTTTTACAATCTATGGTATTCGTTTGAAGATAAGATATGTTTTCAGGATCTTGTCAATTCCTTATAAGACATCAGTCTTGCCAAAATATATTCAAAATCTTATTTCAGAAATGTATTACTGTACTTTGGCACACAAATTAGGTAACTCTGTCTTTATCAATACATTTTCCCAACAGAGGATTACCACCTTAACAGTCACGGTAACTCCTATTGCATGATTTCTGTGGTTTGTGACTTTGTATTCGGTGTTGATGCATGCCGGTCATAATAGTACTAATGTAGCCATTGTTTTTATCTGATATTTAATGTTATGTTTTCTTATATTAGTAACCATTTACAACATTTGCCCCAGTTGAATCACTTTGTCTGCTTAGTAAAAAAGTCAAAAAAAAATTTTATTGTTATTTTTTTTAAAAGTCTTTGGCTTTATCTTAATCATATGGCTTTGTTCTTTAGTGTTTGGGAAATCAAAGCCTTTGTGGGGGGGGAGGAGAGAAGTGTTTCTAGAAACACAGAATATATTAGGAAGTTAATTCAACCCCAAAAGATGTATGTGGGACATGGCAGCAATTTTACATTGTCTTACAAATCAACTCTAGAGCATTATTTTAACCTAAATGTGTTGATTTTTTTCTGCATATAAGTAGGTAGTTTTTATAATTCCGTAACCAGTGAAATGTTTCCTCTTTACATATCAATACTGGAGGATATTTGATTATGATGGAAATTAGGGAGGTGTGGAGTGTACTTAGTATTTAAAGCATACAATTTATTACAGATACTATCTTTTAAAACTTTAAAACTTTGTCTTTTCTGGATTTAGGGTCCCCCTGGACCACCTGGACCTCAAGGACTACAAGGGCCAAAGGTTATTCTTTATTTTACTTGTTTCCGTTTACTACATATAGTGCAGAGAATCCCATATTAAATATATGTATCTCTGAAAATCAATGTTACAAAATACTGGAGGAGCTGAGATCAACAGTATTGCTTAAGAGAGCTGAGAATAGAAATTGAGGTCTGGGACTTCCCTGGTGGCGCAGTGGTTGAGAGTCCGCCTGCCGATGCAGGGGACACGGGTTCATGCCCCGGTCCGGGAAGATCCCACATGCCACGGAGCGGCTGGGCCCGTGAGCCATGGCCACTGAGCCTGCGCGTCCGGAGCCTGTGCTCCGCAACGGGAGAGGCCACAACAGTGAGAGGCCCGCGTACCACAAAAAAAACACCCAAAAACAGAAATTGAGGTCTGGGCTGAAGGAAGAGGGTTCAGAAAAAAGAAAAATTAGGAAAGAAGGGAGAGAAATAGAAATGGCATTAAATTTAGAAGGAGGACATTCAGAAAAACAGAATATTAAACAAAGGAAAAACAAGTTTTACAGAAATTGTAAGTGTAAAGAAACACTAAATGTGGTGTATGGAAAAAGGCAAATATTTAAATTGAAGGAAAATTTACTCTGACACCAAAAAAGTTCCTTTCCTTCAATCCTTTCATAATAAAAAGAACAAGAAAAGCTTCAGCATGACGCATTCAGAAATGACAATTTTAGGAATCACTTTCAGTCATTTTATAACACATCCTGCTATATATATTCAAACATTCTGCCATTTAAATTTCATCTAATAGAACATACCAACTATGAACAGTAGAAACCAAATTACTTGATTATATCTAAAATTTATTGGTAATGTTAGCTTTTTCCCTCCAAACTTAAGCTTATTAAACCACGTTCGATCAATTAATACATGGCCAGCGATTCTGGCTTTTCAGAACTGAGCTACACGTGTTGAAATACGACTTACATCATTGGGTTTTTTGTAGGAGATTCAAGTGGTGTCAAAATCCATCTTTTGTTTATGCCTTTAGGCAGTTTATTTGCTAAATCTACCTCATACACACACATGCACACACACACATACACACATATCAGCTTTTGTTCTTTTTCAAGATACTTAAAAACTGAAAGCTAGCACATAGAAACAATTATTTTTTCTATTATTAAAAGGAATATGCAGTAAAATATTACTGAGGTCCTTGGCTATGTGAGATCTATTTAGAACATAGATACTAATTTCAAACAGATTTCATGTATAACATTACTGTAAGTTTGGGGATTTTTTATTTTCTATTTCTCCACCACATTCTGCTCCCTAAGAGATATAACACAAAAAATGCTCCAATCATATGCAGTCTTTATCCCTGGTAAGCAAGTTGGCCTGGATCCCTATTCTTTAGTATCTTGGGGAGCTGGGCTAGAAAACCTAGAAGGAAATCTGTAGATTCCTTTGTCCTCTGTGTAGTGTCAGCCAAGGTCTAAGTTCCTTGCTTTATGCCCCCACTTGACTAAATCTCCGGAAGCAAAATTGTCCTCAATGCTAAGTCTGTACCTTATTCCATACAAACCTCAAAACCTTCTGGGACTTGACTCTTCTTTATAGCCCAAAGGCCTACAGAAGCCCCAAAAGCACTTGACCCAAAGAAAGCTACCTAGCTACCTAGCCAAGAAAGCTATATCATTAAAACCTACATCCCCTGTGTTTTATAATCCAACTGCTATTCATTTATTAATTACATTAATCAACAATTAATTTGGGGCCTCTATTCCATGGTAAATACTGATATCTAGTAAAGATACTAGGATATAGCAAGGGGTTTTATTTTATTTATTTATTTTTGGCTACGTTGGTTCTATTGTTACTGCACGCAGGCTTTCTTTAGTTGCGGCGTGCAGGGGCTACTCTTCGTTGCAGTGCACAGGCTTCTCATTGCGGTGGCTTCTCTTGTTGTGGAGCACGGGCTCTAGGCGCACGGGCTCCAGTAGTTGTGGCTCGCGGGCTCTAGAGCACAGGCTCAGTAGTTGTGGCACACAGGCTTAGTTGCTCCGCGGCATGTGGGATCTTCCCGGACCAGGGCTCGAACCCGTGTCCCCTGCATTGACAGGCGGATTCTTAACCACTGCGCCACCAGCGAAGCCCAGCAAGGGGTTTTAACAAGGAGCTTTTAGCCCAGGGATGGAGAAAGGCAAGTAAAGGCACAATTATGAATAAACAGAGTAAGTGCATTGGTTAAGATGTGTACAGGAAGGCTCCTGTCTGCCTTGGGGTCAAGGATGACTTCGAGCTGAAACTGAAAGGCAGGAAGAAATTGGCCAAGTGAATGTCTAGACAAGTAGGGTGGGGGAGGGTTGTTAGTCATACTCCCTTACCTCTTACCATGCCACCCTTCCCACTATGCCAGCCTTCTGGCCCACCTCGTACACGCCACAATGATCTTGTAATTGAGATCTTGGCTCAGTTGATACAGTCCTTCATGCTTTCCATTATCTCCCCTTGAGAAGGTTGGGATAATTGCCGGGAGTTGTGCCTATGACCAGGAGTCAACAAATTCAGCACGAGGCAAATATAAAACCCATTCTCACTCAGGACACACAGCCTCAGACTGAATGGGAACCTATTCAAATTAGCATTCCTCCTTCCTTTATCAAACAAGGACAGTTTGACTTCTTATACATCAAACAACTCTTTACAAACTACTTTTGGTGGGTGCAGGATAAATGAATAACTCATGAGTTATATTTTCCTTTAAACATTTGTGGGTCACATTTTGAAGGGAAAAGCATGGCAACCATTACTGGACCCAGAGTGCTGACAAGTATTCAGACTGCATGAAACTAGGGCTTAGCCAGTTGCATCCAACCTTAACAGACTTGTTGGTGGCAAAATAAATGTTGCCGCTACCACAAAGAGCAGGAAATCTGGAATTTTTTAAAAAAGGATTTTTTTCTTTTTTTCTTTTTTTTTTTTTTTCATGTGTTTGTCATGCCTTCCTTTAACATTTGGAAGGCTCAGATTTCACACTATGACCAATAGCTCTTAAAGTTCTAACCAGGGAAAGCAACTCTAACCATTTCAATATTGTGGTTTATAACATCACCAAACAAGCCTTTCTAGAAAAATACAGCCTCAAGTCAGTTCCCTTGGAAATCTGTCTGCGAGGCAGGCTACTCACACACTCCAAGGAATTGTTTTTACAAAGTTTCCGAGGTGTGGGCATCAGAGAGATTTATAATGGGGTCTACATAAATGACCCATTGATATAAAATAATATCTTGCCTTTCAAAGAATTTGTTCAGTACCTTTCCAATTGAAAAGTAACTGGACATTTGTTGTTTGAATAAATCTCTAGCACATTGTTTAAATTTGTCTTTAATGGAACATCTTCAGTTAAGAAAAAATAAATCCATCTATTTTGGGTTTGTCAAGGGTTCTAATAAATCACAATATGAAGAGTAAATTCAGTTCGTTCCTAGCATAGTATAGGAAATTGAATTGATCCAAAAGTAATTTTCTGTGGATTAAGATATTATCTGATATATTATATCCTTCAGTGAGGCTTATCTGGAAATAGCACATTCACAATCATTATGAATTTGTATTCACGGTTCAAACAATGCCAGGTTAAATATTATAAACATATGGGGCCTTTCATTTTACTCTTTCTTGAGTTAACTACCATGTTTTTGCTTTTTTCTCAAATTGGAAAATAAGAGAAATCATACAGAATTTTAAGGAGGAAAAAATTAACTAGCTGAGGCGTATAGGTTGTTCCTGGAGGATATGGTCAGCCATCAGATGATTTCAGTTTTCTTTCACCAAATTCTTATAGTCTGAATCCCACATGAGGGGAAAAAATAAAAACACTGAATCTTAGCGATATGTAAGTATTATTATACATAATATTCAAAAAAATGTTGTTTTGGAATTCCCCAGCGGTCCAGTGGTTAAGACTCTGGGCTTCCACTGCAGGGGGTCCGGGTTCGATCCCTGGTGGGGGAACTAAGATCCTGCATGCCACACAGTGTGGCCAAAAGAAAAAAAAACATTATTTCACTTTGTATAGTCATGTGGTATGATGTAATAACGTACTTGAATTATGATGCATTTGCTGAAAGTTAAATTGTACTGTTACCAACTAGCATCATTTTTTGCCTCATTTTTACTTAGTGTAGTATGCTACCAATAATAAATAAGAAGCTAGCCATCAATTTTTATCTTAACAGGGAGAGCCAGGATCTCCAGGAGTCCCAGGAGTTGATGGAGAGCAGGTAATTTTCAAAGACATATACTGTCATTTAAAGCATCATTTATTGATGACCTTTTGTTATAGGTTTGAAGACCAAAAGGCATGAGTGTTGATTTATGATATTCTCTTTTTTTTTCTTACCTTCTGTTCTAGAGACTACATTAACTTTAAAAAGCAATTGGTTTTAAATTAGGCATTAGTTTTCTTTGTACAAACATGCAAGTTATATGATGCTTTAGATTTACCTTAATAATCCCTATCAATCTACCAATGACATCTCTGTGAATTTTTATTAGACTTGTAAGATAATTACCAATTTAGTAAGAATTGCCTAATTCTTGTCAGTGAATACAAATAATTCAAGATTTAAAGCTGTGACGGTAGTTTCCACAAAATTAGATATTGCTTACATGTGTAATTTTGACATTGTTGTCTTTTCCCAAATAAAGATTGTACCTAATTTTCTAGATCATTAGAAAAGACAGAAACAAGCAGGACACTTGTAGCTTTGTAGAATATGGCAATATCTCCGAGGGTTTCCCCTAAAACAGAGGTTGACAAACATTTTCTATAAAGGGCCAGATAGTAAATGTTTTAGGCTTTTCAGGCCATAGACATTCTCTATCAGATTTTTTGAATGCCACTTACATTTTGTTTTAAACATTCAGCCTGTACAAAAACAATTCCTGGGCTGGATTTGGCCTGTAAGCCATGGTTTGCCAACCCCTGGTAGAAATGAATCTGACTAGGAGAGTGTGGACAGTATTCAAAATTCAGAATCTAATCACAAGGATGAGTTTCAAGACTTTTGATGTTTTGTGGGCTTCCATTATTTACCTAAGAAATGGCTAAAATCAAGAAGATCATAAGAAATCAAAGACATTCTTGATACAGTTTGTGATATATCCCTCTCAGGAGATAGTATTAGATAAGAAAATTAAGAGAAGCGTTATTTTAATATCAGAGTTGTATATTGAAATCATATAACATCACACTAAATTAACATGTGGTAGTTATAAAAGAGACTTTAGATGATCTGCTATATCCATCAGAGATCACATTAGCATTTAAAAATCTGATGGTATTACCTCCCCCAGTTAGTCATTATAAATAATTTGACATACATAGTGACATACTACATGGTATGTCATCCCTACATATACAATAGCTGAATTTTTTTTCTATAGGCTTCACAAGGTCTTCTTCTACTACTAGGTCCAGTGGGTTGACTCTCCTGCTGCTCTCTTTTACTAGATTCCTGAAACCAACCAGGATCTGATTAACTATAAGATCCATCTATGTATTTAGGTACCTACCCACCCACCCACCCACCTAGTGGGTGACTCTGAAGTAGGTGCTATGAAACAGATATACGTAACAAGAAAAGACAAGTTCCTGTCCTTAAGTAGTTTTTGGTTTTTGGTTTTTGTTTTTTGTTGTTTTGCGGTACGCGGGCCTCTCACTGTTGTGGCCTCTCCCGTTGCGGAGCACAGGCCCCGGACGCGCAGGCTTAGCGGCCATGGCTCACGGGCCCAGCCGCTCTGCGGCATGTGGGATCTTCCCGGACCGGGGCATGAACCCGTGTCCCCTGCATCGGCAGGCGGACTCTCAACCACTGCGCCACCAGGGAAGCCCACTTAAGTAGTTTTTAAGTATAGAAAATATGAACAGGTTAGTGCAACCAGGGATCCCTATAACCATAACTAAAATAACTATGATCATCTCTGCTGAAGGATGGGCCATCTGGTCATACAGCAGTGAACCTCCTTAGATGAAAATGCTTAACGATATACATTAATTTCAGTATTAGTATCACAAAATTCCTATTTTTTTGCATTCAAAATACACATATATCTGTTTCCTCACTGTAAAAAGAGAGTAAAAAATCACATCTTGGATCACCTCATAGAGATGTCACGAGAACAAAATAATAACACTGGAGAAGTGGAAGTATTTCTAAGCATTAATTGAGCATTAGTATATACTGAATGATCTACCTGTCTGTAGATGGGACCATTGAAAACTGTTGGTGATTGGAACCTCTGCCTGCATTTAATGGGAATAGAGGGATATAATGAGTGGAGATGTGAAAAATTTATTTGGACCTTTGTTACTATAACACTAGGTCCTGCTTCAAAATGTATAGTGTGTATTAAACCCATTAATTTGTTTTCAGGACTGGTGATATAGAATTAGCTGCCAGGTAAAAATGTGGAATCAGGAGAAATGATGTCAACACTTACATTCCTGCTTTTCATACTTAAATGGCCTAAGTAATAGAATTTAATCTCTTCCATTACAAGAGGAAATAGTATTGATTCAATGTAGAAGTTTGCTATAAGAGATAACTCTACCTAAGAATGAAAATCAGAATCATCTCAGCCTGAGGCCCATCTATTGGCAAAAGTAATCTGGAATTCTGTTTTCCCTATTATGTAACCATCCATGGTCAGTATGATTCTTAAGTGCAAACCATATCATTTGTAGGGACTCAAAGGTTCAAAGGGAGACATGGGGGACCCAGGTATGCCAGGTGAAAAAGGAGGAATTGGACTTCCTGGATTACCGGTATGTTTATATTTTTAAAGATGTATTCATATTAAGATAAATTAAATAATCAGAAAATAGTTGTATTATTAGCTGCAGTCTCATCTAATGGTTCATTTAATATTTTTATTATTAAATATTTGAGGTGTTTTTGGTTAATTACTACAACTAAGGCTCTAGAAGAAATTTTAAAGCATCTAACCAAATGAATTATAAAATAAACCTTTATGCTGTCCTGAATTATTTCCCTAGAAGATAGTAAAATAAATAGAGTTGGTCATTAATGTAGGATGTAACTGATCATTTTAAAATAAACAATAATAAAAAAAACCTAAAAAATACAAAATAATTAAAAAACAAATTACACTGGAAGTGTTCTCCTCATGTTACAATATTATGGGATGGTGTTTTTATGGTTTCCCCCATAATTTTTACTGAGAATTTGGAGAGGGAAATGTAGAAAAATGTAGGGAAAAAAATATAGAAAACCTCACCGCCCTAGATCATTTTTTAAAACAAGGAAATGTGTAAATAAGTGTCAGTGAAAAAGAAGTTAAAGTCAGCACCACCATTAAAAATATAACAGTTATAATTGGATATATTTAGCAATGTATAAGTTTAACCAATCAAGCATAACTTAGTTTCATTTACTTTATAATTTATTTCACATATCATGCACAATCCTAGGGATTTGAGGAAGCTTGATGTTTAGCTTGAGGCTAAAATGCAAGGGGATAAATCCTTCTCTTACATTATCATGTGCATGATATTATAAAAATTTCAAGAGGATGATGGATTTGGGGAGAAAATTCAGCTGTTCCTTACCTGACCAGCTCAACTCTTAATGGTTATTTGTAGGGTGCCAATGGAATGAAAGGAGAAAAAGGAGACTCGGGATTGCCAGGTCCTCAGGGTCCTTCCGTAAGTACATGGGGGCTGAACTTCCATGGTTCCCGAAAAACTCTGAAATGGGCCAATTATTCACCGACTTCAACCTGTGCCAGATGGCTTATCAACAGTAGAAAGGCCATGAACCTCTTGGTCTGTCAAACTGTAGAAGAAATATCCGTCAGCCTTGTACAGCGAGAGACAAAAGTGTCTCAGAGGTCTGAGTTAGAAGCGATTTTTCAGAGGACTATCTAATCCCGAGGAGAAAAATCAATGGTTTTCCCAAAATGCTTTTGGATAGAGCTCTGTGAATGTAGAACCTACGTTCTTTTTTTCTCCAGAGCCCTGTTGTTGCTTAGTGAAATATTTGAGAGTTTAATAGTAGTTGTAGCATTATAGCATTTCTTGGTAATCAGTTGCTTCCTTTTCTTTTAATGTACTTTTGATTTATTCTGGCTTCTGTAGAACAACTGTATTTTTTTTAAGTTTTTTTATTCTCACGAAGGAATTTCCAAATGTAGAGAATCAAATGCATCACTTCTTCCAGTATCCTTCTTCCTCTGCAACCATTAATGGCCTTAGCAGAAGCCCAGCATGAGATTCAAGCCCAACTGCCTTATCTAAATGAAGTAACCAAATTCATGTTTATTTTTCGGACATGCAGATCATAGGCCCACCAGGCCCACCAGGTCCCCATGGCCCACCAGGCCCCATGGTAAGTTTCCCTTCTCTCCAAAATATAATCATTTGTTTAAGAGCATGCTACCAGAGGAAACATGAACACACCCCTCAAAACAGCCAGCTTGTATGTTGTACTACTCTCTGTGGAATGGACAAAAATAGGGGGTGCTTTTCTGATTGTAAAAGTGTTGTCTTTCACTCTCCCAGGCACATCTATTGGAAAGAGATAGGGTAGTTTTGTGATAGGAAAGTTGAATAAACAGATTTGGCAAGCTTTACTCCACTCTTAGGGTATGAACATTGGAAAATCATTTTAACCAACCACTGTTCTAGGCCATTAATAGCATAACAAGATTAATAATTGTAGCCATTAATGAATGTTTCTAACCAACTTTGAGGATTGAGACCCTTTAATGAAATGTTCAGTAAGAACATTTAGAAAATAATATGATAAAAATTGTCTCACTTCCACAGATGATATATATTGTTGGATCTTTTTCTTTTCACTTTTAAATACTTCTGTAAATACAGTGTTTACTGCAAGTATCCCTCAGTGACCAGTGGAGGCAATGACTGTGTCCTCATAGAACTTATGTTCGGTGAGGAAGGTAGCCATTAAACCAGCATAATTCTCCAAATGTCTACCTAATGACAGTTTTGTTAAGGCTAGAACTAGAAGGCAGAATGCTTCAAATGCTTTTGACTAGGATGGGTTGGGAACAAGTCAGGCAGTCTCTAAGGTCACATTTGTCTCGACAGTGTCCCGATAAACCATATGTCTTCAATCATAGAGATTAAATAAACTGTCGGTCACTCTTTCCTCCTGTTGTGCTCCAAGAAAGAACATTGTGGGAATGATCTAAACCACAGAGCGTAGCCTCAGACCCAATCATCTATTTCTTACTAAGTGCCGTTTCTATTTCATATCACAAAACAATTATAATTAATCTGATTTTCTTAAAACTAAATAGTGCTTTAAGAATCAAGCAAGTGGCATACTTTTGGCGTTTTTATACTCCCGCCACTTTAAGTTAGAAAATTAAATTTTAAAATGCTATATCCATTCATATCATAAAATTAATTAGTTTAAAGGAATTTAAAACCATTTCTAAAATGAAATAAGAATACTTGATAAAATGGCCATTTCCTGAAAATGTTTATCCATAACATATCCAAAGGGAAAATATTATTCCAGTGTAGACATATGTAACAAATATCTATGTATTGCTTGCTTAAAAAAAAAATTAAAACTTTTTCCTACTGTTGTATGATTTTGCTGATGAGTATTCAAATACTCCTGTCTCCAAATAGTTCATTTAAATGACTTGAAAGTTTAAAGCAATCCACAGTAATCTTTAGTTAATTTAGGCTGATTAATTCATCTCTGTACTTAGATTTTCCACAAAATACAGGGGAAAAGCCCTGATTCATGAATGTGTTGTGACTTCCTTCCACTGGTAAATAATTGTTACAAGAGCCTTGAACAATTCATCTTTGGAAAAATGAATGCATTCTAAATAATAATGTTTAGCACTCCTGTACTAGAATCCTTTTCTTAGCCTTGAAGAAATAATGCAACAGGGTTCCAAACTTGACTGTCATCTCCTCATTTTCTTGCTCCTTTAGATTTCTTAAAACCTTGGGTCTAGAGCAGTTAGTAATTGAAAAGGTCTCCTCGTCACTGGTACTTAAAGTTCAAAATTTTTTTACCAAATTTTAAACTCATAAGCTATCTCACATATTCCACCTAGATTTTTTTAAATAGGGATTTGAGAAAGAGAAGTAGTGTGGGTCCACAAACACTTTTTTTTTTTTCTTCCATATAACCCTGGCAGATTCCCCCCTCCCTCTCACAGGTATTTAGCAGAAAGAATTGCTGTTAATGAATTTCCTATTACATAGGAATCCAAGAGCTAGAAGGAACTTTCACTAGGTATTAACATCCGCTGGCCTGCCTCTAGCTATAGCTCAAACAAAAAGATTCTTGTTATACATCTCTTTTGTTACGTTATATAATAGTTAATAGTCACTTCTGCTGGGAAAAAGTGAATCAGTTCTTAATTCAAAGCTGTGTTTTCCATTTTCAGGGACCCCATGGACTTCCTGGACCAAAGGTAATCCAACAAATCCCTTGATTATTTGATGGCTGTTTCATTGTTAGTCGTGGGGAAGCATGACAGAAGCATGTCTGTCCTGTCTTATTTATTTGTCAAGTAATGTTGATAATCTTTAAGCCTTTAAGTATCCAGATGTTTAAATTTCACAACAACGAATGACTTATAACAAATTTAAGTGATATTACCTAGAGATGAATTAGTCCTCATTTTGCCTTTTTCCTTGTCACTATGTAAGTTTCTTAAGTTACTAATCATAATATACTCAAAATCAACATTCTAAAAGGAAAAAAAAAAAAGTGAATCTGATGACATTCTCAGACTAGTCCAGATGCTCTTTCTTAGTATGGTATCTTTAGTTGTATATTCAGATGTTATTAGTTGATACTTCTTGCTTGTCATGTAGCAGTACTGCATCTAAATGCTTTAATTATCCAGCATCTTAATTTTGTACTCCCCCAGAGGTCACTGGTCTAGAATGAGGTGAGGTATATCAAGTATGCTATACTGAGGAGAAGGTTACATGACACACACATATTCTATACTCTGAATTAACAAGAGAACAATGGAGAATATCCCTTCCTTTTGAGAATTATTGCAGTTTGTATTGTAAAGATGGATGAAGGTGCATTCTTTGCCTTTGTGTAGACCGAAAAGACACCTTGGAGGATTAAAATGAGCCCTGAAAGACATGCTTCTTCTTTCAGTGAGCATATGTGATGAGGACGTATGTTCTGATCTCAGCTTTGCCACTGACAGGCTGTGTCACCTTGGGGAGATTATATACCCTCTCTAATCCTTCATTTGCTCAACTAGGTAACTTACCTCAGAGTGTTGTGATGATTTAATGAGGTATGATTATAGAACACTTCACAGAATATCCAGTGCAGCTGTTAATAGAGACCCAATTAACGTCAGTTGTTATTGTAATCTTGTGTTTTGATGCTTTGTTCTGAACAGAAGAATTGATCTAGTCCTCAAGGCTGCTTGAGAAAAGGTTCCATGACTCTCGCAACCTCCTCAGTAGTGAGCTGATGCCTTGAAATGGAGAGCGGGTGAGGGGACACATAAATGCAGTGTTGGCACTAAGAATCAGAAAGCCTAGAGGCGGCCCACCCTCTCCTCTGAGCACTCCCGCTGACCCCCCAGCTTTAGGGGTGGCAGAGGGATTGGTCTGACTCCAGAAACCTGAGTTTCCTTTTCGAGATGAAGCAGGTGACTTAGCCGAGAAAGGAAAGAGTTCGTGCCTCTTCATTCTTCTTAGAATGCCTTCCCTTCTGATAAGGCCAGTGATCGACAGCATCTCAGTGGCGTGGATTATAGTTTAGGGTAAGAACATTTTTGTTGGGGTCGAAAGAGAGCTTATCTATCAGCTCTGTGGTCTAGGTACTTATCTAGCCTTCTTGGGCCTCCTTCCCCACACTGGACTAAATAATAGTTCCTCTGTTGACTTCTGTTTGGATTTTAAGGTACCACTAAAAACCAGATTAATTGTAATGACTCAGGCCAAAGCCACCAAGATTGAGTTTCTAATTCTATGAGTGATTCAGTTACCCCATCACCATTACATTAATAGATGCCCGAGATCCTTCCGATATCTACAGGGCAGTGGTTCACTTTGCCTACACTTAACTTCCATTGTTATTTAAATCATAGATTTCAGAGAATTATAAAGTTGAAAACATCTCATAGCTTACCTGTGCTAGTTCCTTGATTTTATAGATAATAAACTGTAGGCTCAGGAGATTTAGGTTATTTGCTCTAAATTACTGTGCCAATTAAATGACAGATCTGGGACTAGAATTTAGGTTCAGAGTTGAAATTTGAAATTGTTGCCCCAGAATTTGATTGTTTAAACTTACCTTCTCAATTAACACCCATTCCTATCAATGCATGATTCCTCACCAAAGAACTTCATAGCCTACCAAGGCTGCCCTGGCTGTTCATCATCTTAAGATCACTCGCTGAATGAAAGTCCACACACATGCAAAGCCCTGAATCTCAAGTTTAGACCAGTTAACTGCAGTTGACTACTGAGCCTTGGCTTTAATCTCACATTGACTCTAGCTCTGGGACATTCCCAGGATCACACTTTACCAACCATAGAATATTTGGCTTTCCTACAGTGGCAGCATTACAAACTCCCTCTCCTCAGAGCTGCCAAACTCCATTAGGTCATGCCAATGTGTTTATTATTTTGTGACCCCTTTGAAAGTTCCAATATATAGCATGGTTCCATGGATGACTCTAGCTCACTGTTTCCTAGAATTTCCTGATGAGAAGAATCACCTGGGAGACATTAAAAATACCATTCCTGTGCTGCTATGGTCCAGGTGGTGCCCTGGACTCTTTAACAAGTACTGCACTGATTTGCACCATCAAGCAAACGGGGGAAATACTGCCCAGATTAATAATAAATACTGCCCAGATTAATTAATAAATACTGCCCAGATTAATAATCCCTCCTGCCCCTCTCCCACCTCTACCACTCAGGACTCTATAGGGCATTTAAAACTGAAATCATCTTCCTTCCACAAGTCTTTCAAGATTTTCTTGATGAAATTAATATCTGTACTTAAAAGCTGAAAAGGGAACAGGTCAGAATTCTATTTCTAACATGCTGCTGCCGACAGAAAATAGTGTATTACATTCTTAGGTTTTTAAAAACAGAGTCAAGAGAATTTATCACTTATCGTGGCTTTTGTATCGTCACCTTAAGTTAAATTCAAACCTACTTTATTCTGAGATTGGACAGATAGACAGTTAGTAAAGCCACATGTAAGTTCTGTGATCTTCACATTCTCTCCTAGGATTGGCTCTTTGTTGTCTGTTCTATTGATTAATCCTTGTAGGGACCTGACTTGCAATGTCAGTGAATGAGGATTCACCAAATGGCATTACTTCAAAAGTCAGTTGCTACATTTTTAGCTCATTCCCCTGGGCAAAATGCTTAAAGGCTTAAAATATCCATATATATAACACTGTCCTGCATATTCCAGTTTTCCATTCCAGCAGAGTGAGTCTTTCCTGCTCAGCCTCCTTCAGTATCCTCCACTCCGATTGTCTTTGATTTACTTGGTCAGAACAATGTAGCATAACACCAATTTCCTTGAGGTAAAACTGAAAAATTCGAAGCTCAGACATAGACATTTTGCTTGTAAGGAGCCCACTTTCTCAGGAGTTCTGCTTCCTAGAATATTATTTAATTGTCAATTTCAGTTTGTTAATTCTTAAAATTTTTTAGATTATTTTTGAACTGATGCATGACAAATCTAGCCTGACTCTGCTGTTACCTAAAACTGGAATCTGCAACCATTTCAGAGACTGGCTCTCTTCTCTCGAAGTTGAAACACCCATGATAGCAACCAAAATCGGCATTTGCTTTTGCATTTAGGGTGAACCAGGGTTAAATGGTGTTAAAGGATTGAAGGGTGAACCAGGTCAAAAGGGTGACAGAGGACCCCTTGGTCTTCCAGTAAGTAAAGAAAACTTTCCATTTCAGTGCAAATCTCAGACTTTTCTTTCTACCCTAATTAAGAACTCTGGTTTACTCAGTGACCATCTTATGGTTGAGATTTCTGTAACTGGAAAACATACTGTGTTCGCACAGAGCTCGGCCCAGTTTTGTTTCTCTGATGTCTGCTCTTGTGTCAGAGGAAGATCCCATAACAAACAATGCCATAAATGTTCTGTCGTTCAATTACATACATGCCAACCTTCCTCTTTTAACGCTGACAATTCTTCTCCCATCACCCTCCCCTTTAAAAAATTATTATGCAGATTATTTCATAATTTCTCCCAAATGTTTTTATTATTTAGTGTAGTGTCAAATCCTCCCTCAATTTTTATTTTTTCCTCTTCAATGCCAAAAACCATAGCCCCTGTTAGTGGAAGGTATGCAATTGGCCATTGTTGAAGGCGTGGGGTCAGTGCCGTGGTTCCTTACATTAATCAATCATATTGTGGTCTAAATGTTATATGTCGTTTGTGCTAGAAATGCCCTCTTACGAGGTTCTTGCGGCAATAATGGATAGTATGGAAGAAGTATTTTGCAGTTATTTAGAGATTTTGATTTTTAATGAAAAGGAGATTTCCAGCTTTCATGCACTTTATGCTGGTCTTCTTACCACAACCACTAAAAAGCTATTTTTAAATGATTATTAAATATGAGGGGTTTTTCTGTTTGTTTGGGTTTTTTTGGCTGCACCGTGCAGCATGCAGGATCTTAGCTCCCTGACCAGGGATCGAACTTGTGTCCCCTGCAGTGGAAGCACAGAGTCCTAACCACTGGACCGCCAGGGAATTCCTAAATATAAGTTTTAGTTTCAAGCTTTTCATATGCTGTTTATTCAGTGAATGCAGATAAAAGTCAGTAAAGAACATTATAGATTACATTATTAAAATATGACATAAAATTGGGAATAGAAAATAGTTTATACACGTCTCCATAAAAAAATTGGTGACTACTTATTTTATTTTTCCCACAAGTACTGTATTCTAAGTACTAAAGTATTCCTCTCGATAGCCGATGCCTTACATAGATCAGGCACTTAGTAGATGCTTAATATGTGTTCATTTATTGAATGATGTAAGCCTTATATTAGAGTATAGGTTAAATCACACCAATTAGATCATGCCACAGGTATAAAACCTAAAACCTGTATAATATGTGTGAGTCATTAATTCACATAAATATAATGTTATATAATCAGTGCAAAAATTTTATCATCCCCCTATTTATTTTTAAATTTTAATAATGGTGACTCTGAAGAAAGTATCAAAAAGCAAAAGAAAATTTGGATTTCTATTTTATTTAAACCCTCAATCTGATTTCTTTAAAGTTTGCCCTAATTTCAAATCTAGGACTAGTGGTCATTTTTATGTAACATTTAGCCGAAAGCTCTACATATGCTAGCATTAAGCGAATGATAACACACGTATTTTTTTTCATTTTAATCATTGCTAAGTAAATGGAATTTTGCAGTTATAATCTGACTCACAATAGGATTGTACAGAAGGAATTGTAAAATAAAAAATGAAAAGTACCCCCCAAAATGTATGGCATAGCATCATTTGTAGCGTTTGCAGCTGGAATAAATTTTTTTTCTTCCATTTTGTATTATTAACTACATCTGAAGCATAAAATGGGGAAATAGTTCAGCAACCTTGCCAAGAGATGTATAGAACTAGTGCATTGTCTTTCTTAAATACTCCTTGATCAAATCAACATTTTTAAAGGACTATAAATAAACATTTGAGTTTTGAGATACAAAAGCCATACCAAAAAAGTAATTGCGCTTATAATTGAAAAAACAAGCATCGAAAATGTCATCTTTTGGTCATACGTTATGCATAGCCTAGAGTTGAAGGGAAAGAAAAGCATGCATTGCCTGAGAACAACATTCCATTTTTAAAGCATTTCCCATTCAGACTTTGATGCTTGATTACTTGAAGTGAGCTGAGGGACAATGTTGTTTGGGACAGTTATTTCTTTTTGGACTCATGAAGTTTTTCTGGCTTTTTCCTGTTCCTAGAAGTCCCTCTAGTGGTGACTAATGTGAACACAGTGAGAACAATCCAGAAAACAATGGGTATCGTCTGTGTAAAATCCAGAGTCACCCTGACATGTTAAAAGTCTGCATTTGTTATTCACAAATGCTATTTTAACAAGTAAAACGAGAGCTGTTTTCTTCTCCTCTGAAATTCTAACTTGATTGATTATTATAATGAGCCCTTTCCTAGAAGATCGGCCATTACTTTTTTTTTTCAGAACCAAAAGAAATATATTGTGAATGGCACAGTCTTTAGAAAATTAATTTCATACGGAAATTAGCAACCCAGACTGTTACTGGTAACTATTTTAAAGCCCACTTTATAAACCTCATTCACTTGATTTCTAAGTAAGAATTTATCAAATGGAAATGTCATAAAAATGCCATCATCTGTGGGGTGTTTATTGTCACATGGTGTTTTTTTTTTAACTAACAATTTGTAGCAATGTGATATTCATCCCAGAACCCTGTGACTGCGTATTATGTTGTTTGAAGTGTTACATTTGTTCATCAGTACCTCATACTAATCTCTGTTCTTGTCATTCGTGTTACACCCACCAACCCTGCTACCAACCAAATCACACAGGGAGCATCTGGCTTAGACGGAAAGCCAGGATCCCGGGTGAGTCAGCACCTCAACTTGCTCCAACAGGTTTTGTGGCTAGGAGTTTTATGCTTCAGGACAGACTCCCATCAAATGATGAGGGGTACATAGGACTGGAGCAGAAGAAAGTGGACAAAGATAGGGCAGAAAAGGGAAAGGTAGACAAAGCCTGGGTTGCAGCCTTGTTTGTCATACAGCCTAAACTACAGAACATCTTTCTGAAGCCGGGGTTCAAGTCTGGATAACTTGTGACGTGGGAAGAATGACCAATCTAATTGGCTTCATTGTCGTAGAATCCCAGACAGATTTTTCCATAACCAATGAACACTTCCTGCAATTCCATGGGAGGGGCCCTCTGAAGGAATCAAAATCATGTGAATTTATTTTAACTTGCTTTTCCTTTTACGTTTATGTCCATTATTAGAAATGTAACTTCTTCTTTGGAACTAACTTTCAAATCTCTGTTCATTGAAATGACTTGTCTGTCTTCTGTCATTTTGTCTCTTTTCTATGGTTCTTAACAGCTCCATCTCTTAAATTTCAGCTACAGGTCCTCAATATTTAGAAGTCTTCTGAAGATGAACTTTGAGTTCAGGCAGTAAGAAAAAGATCAAACTGATGTTGATAATTCAGCAACATTAGAATGAGTTTAAAACCCTGAATTATTTCATATCACAAGACTCATAGAATAAACAAGAATAGTAAAACAGAAATAGGAATACTAAAAAAATTGTGCTAGAATAGTTTCTGTCTGCAAATATCATAATAAATTCATTGCAAATCTAAGCATAGTCTTCCTGAAAATGAGCAAATATACCTGAAGTCCTTGCTACATTTTTAAGAATCAAAAAGAATTCCAAGCTCTTCAATTCTAAAAGCCTGTTTCAGGCAGTCATTATTTTCAGTGGACCTCAGTGTTCCTATATTCATCCAAATATTATCTCATCTGCCACAGAAATCCTAATCCTGAACCAGGAGGCCAGAGGGCAATTATGCCATTAAATCATCCAGCTGCCTGGTTTGTGCCTTATAAGCCTAGTGACTTGAGCCACTGCAGCAGAACCTATAAGAATAATTCCTTCCTTCTAAGCCCCCTGCTGCTTCCAACAGAACTGAAGAAAGCTTGAAAAGTTAAACACTGTTCTCATTTATTTAAGTTTTTTTTTTTCCTTGTATAACTATTCGAGCCTCTTAAACAGCTGAAGACAAGACTTCAGAGCATTTGTGGCCAAGAGGAGTAGGGGTAACTGTAGGAGCAGAGAATGGATGTGAAGAAGAGGTGATGTGAAGCAAAAGCAATTATTTTTTCTTAAGATTTTGGGGGCAAAGTGAAGATTTTCCATTTAGTCAGGGAGGAAATATATAATTAAATATGATATACAGTATTTTGTGTGAGCCTTTCATTGAAATAGGCAGTTATATAATTCATCCCTTTTGCATGAGTTTCTGGAAAACTAGCGGCCTGAAAGAATCAAGCATAAAGCAGTTTGAAAGGAGACGTGTTGTCTTACTGACATTCTAAGGCATCATTCACCCAGGAAAAGTCCAGGATAAATTATAACTGCTTTTCTTACAGCCCTTGGGATATGTCTCATATTATATTATTTTTATCTTTTTTTAGGGTACAGATGGCCCTATGGGACCCCATGGCCCTGCAGGTCCCAAAGGAGAAAGAGTAAGTTGCTCCTGAGGTTATTAAACTGTGACCTAAGGAAATCACAGAGTGTGGCTTTTCCATTTTAGTTGATCTGAGCTGTTCATTTCCCAGAAGAAATAAAGGGCCATCCAATAGTAAATGGAAATAGATGCCATCTTAAGTTCTATTCAGAGTCGTCATGCTGAGAGAATGACAGAGTATTAGAATATACCTGCCTTAACAACAACAACAACAAAACCAATGCATACATTTTCATAGCTAAAGTAAATAGCTCAGACCATTCCTCCTTAACCCCTAAGGAAGATGTTTTCATTTGGCCTTAATCCAGAAAGTTGATGTCAATAGGTCTAAAATTTCCAGGACTATATATTCTGGTCGATAATCTTTTATATAAAGCTACTGTATTCATTCAGAATAAGTTATAACTTTTCTAAAGGGAACTTACAAAACCTAAGTATTCTCTGCACAGTTACACATGCTCCTCTTTTTAAGCAAAAGAATAGCCTTTCTTTAACCATAAGGAAATAATTTTAGTGCATTATAAAACAAAAACCTTCCACTAACCTTTCTATTGCTAAGCCATGTTTCCATATCTTTGGGGGGGAAAAAAGACACTCAGAGCGGAAGATAAACATCTGATACAAAAAAATGTACTGCAGCATCAGCAGCTGGTCATCTGTCTGGAACTTCTCTCCCTCCTTCTCTGTTTTTCTTCTGCTTTTTCTTTTCCTCACCCTGAAAAACTTTTAGAAGGTTTTTTTGTATCTGAGTAGAATTGTGTCATCAATTTCCCCACCATCCAGGATAGGATGTGAAGAAAGTATCGTAATGGTGAGGACTTCAAAATGTTGGAATGATTCATTGTGCAACTTTGTGGTCTTTTAAAACTAGATAGAGTTTCATCAGTCTGGGACAATTTGCTTTAAAATAGAGGGCCATATAGTGATTTCTTTGGCATACATCCCCATCCCATAGTTCCATGTCCTATAAAGTGAATTCACTTATTCAGTAAGTATTTATCACATTAAGATGTACAAAACACAATGTACTCCTAGTGTGGAATGAAAACGCTCTCCTCCCATTTATGAAGTCTATTTTGCTAATTGTTCTAATGAATTGCATAATAATCATTGATTCATCATCCTATAACCTTTTATTAATACACTGTATATACTTACTCAGTACTGTGAAGGAAGCAGCTATTTTCCATGATCTCGAAGAGTTTACAATCTAATTGCAGAGGAAAAAAATATCTGCAAGGAATAACTAGATAATGAGGCCTAAGTGAGTACAAATAGTACATGCCGTGCATTCAGCGATGAGGAAGGCTGGTTTTACCCAAGAATCCTTCTAGGAAGAGGTGAGTCCTAAAGGAAATAAGTCATCTGAATTTATTTCTAAGGTCAAACAAGAGACTTACGAAGATCATCTTAATTAAAAAGATTTAAAAGCTAAGAGCCTCATGCTGCTGGTGCCTTCAAGCATTGTATCAAGAAATCCAGTCCATGAACTAAAAATGGAGCAGCAAATCTCAAGTAGTCTAGTGGCAGGAGGCCCTGGAACTCAAGAGGGTTTACCGTTTGGTAAATCAGCTGTTACTTCCGAGAGCTCCACAGTGTCATAAGAGTATCAGGTCTCAGCGCCGGGGTAGAATTCGCCAGGAGAGCAAATGAAATGGCTAAGAATTTGTGAAGGCATAGTTTCAGTCAAATGGTGTGCAGTGTGAAGTGTTACACTTGTATTTACTCAGCATGTTAACTGTCTTAACTGGATCAGATATCAGTACTCTCTCCAAGTGCCCCTCTCCCTAAGTGCTAAACTGGAGTGTGATTCTCCAAGCGAATGGATGGAGGTGCCGTCTGGACTCTCTTGAAAAAGTTTCAAATTTTAAAGAGGCAGGAATCAAGAAAGGGGTTCATTCTAGAATAATTCCTCAGCGTAGGCATGCAAATTAAAGATCCTGAATGAAATGAGACCAGCCTAAAAGAAACCAGGCATTTGACAGGCAGCGTTATTCAAGAATTGTCAAATACATGACTGGCAGCATGAGTAGTCAGCTTTTCAGAGCACCTATCGTCCTACCTGCAGCTGATTTCTTCATCTTGGCCTTGTAACCACTAAGGAACTCCGTAGAGTGTGTTAAATTTGAGAGGTTCGAAGTTCTTTTGGAATGAATTGATCCCGGAAAAGAAGTTGCACCTTCAAGGCCCTGTGGTAATATTTCATTCCTAAAAGTTTTCAAGCTGAAACCATTAAGCTGCTTTTGGCTCCAAGTGACAGAACCCCAACTCAAAATGGCTTAAACAATAAAGAAATTTATAGTTCTGTGTGGCACAATAGTCAAAGGAGGAACTCTAGGCTTTGCTTCTGTGCCCTTTCCAAGAGCTGGCTTTGTCTTCTGACCACAGGCAAGCTGGTTGCAGCGGTTCCAGAGCCCCCCTCTGGCGAGGCATCAGCAGAGAGCAAACATAGGGACTGTCTTCTCCTGTATCCTCCTTAGCTGTGAGGAAACTGTCCCCAAAGCTTCCCAGCCACTTCCCCTGACACTTCATTGACCAGGATTGGGTCATATGTCCACTTCTGAAGCAGTCACTGGGAGTGAGGTGGAATTGTCATGATTAGCTTAAAGTAAGTATTTGGGGTGAGCGATTCTGCAAGAGGATCTCCACAGCTTTAGTGACAGCTGAATTCAAATCAGCCACGGTATATTCATTTTAAAAACAAAATAAAGCTGAAGTCCTCAATCAGAGGAGGAAGAAGGGAGTAGGTACATCAAAATAATCTGTGGAGATGTTTCAGACCACGGCTACTCTAATCCATTGAGTTTTTACGAATTAGACCAACTCCAGGTTACATGAACCTTCCTTCTAAATCCCCACCTCCCATTTACACACACACGCACGCACACACACACACACCACTACCAACAGCACCACGACCACTTAAAAAATCATAAATAACACTGACAGATCAAACTGAAAGAACTTTATTTTGAATTAGTGCTCTTTGGGTTTTCAAGCCCTTTTCATTAAAAACAAGACCTCTAACTGTACGATAATAATGAGAGCTTCTTTTTATGGACATATTATTTGGCAACATATAATTTCATATTTTATAATCACACTTAATCTCAGAAAAATTCTTGCAGAATATGTATTACTCTCTTATTTTACAGCCAATGAAACACAGGCACAGAAAGGTTAAGAAAGTTACCCAAGGCCACACAACCAGTCAGTGCCAGAACTGGAATTCAAATTTAAATCTGTTTCATTTCAAAGCCTGGCCACTTTACTGAATGCAATTCCTGATCTTTCAGTAATAAACAGAAAGTAATAATGAGTAAAAGTGCAATAAACTTTTATCATATTTATTCCCCAAAATCTCCCTATACTACATGTGCCTCTAAGTGACAGTGCTAATTAGCACCAACAACCCCTAAGTTTAAGTTAAAGAAGACTGTTGACAGTGACTTGAAATTTGCTCACATGGGAATTTGGAGTGTGGAGAAACACAGAATAATACTTAGGTCTGCATGCACAGTTATCAGCTGAACTTGACATTTTACCCTTGGAAGAGATTTGCTACCGTTAAACTTCTTCAGGGGTGTGATAAAAGAAGGTAACATTTTCTTTTGGCCCCTCACATAAACATCATCATTCTCCTGACGTTTCCATATTATATACTGACAGTTTAATTTTGGAGATGGCAGCAGAAGAAAACACTGCTTGAAATGGAGACATCTCTTTTTTTATTATCACAATTTCATATTCCTGGGGCCACCTCCAATTACACTTATTTTTTATAAGCATTCAAGATGATCGTTTAATGAATCAACCAACAAAGAATTAATCTCCAAAATATATAAACAGCTCATGCAGCTCAATATTAAAAAAACAAACAACCCAATCCAAAAATGGGCAGAAGACCTAAATAGACATTTCTCCAAAGAAGACATACAGATGGCAAAGAAGCACATGAAAAGCTGCTCAACATCACTAATTATTAGAGAAATGCAAATCAAAACTACAATGAGGTATCACCTCACACCAGTTAGAATGGGCATCATCAGAAAATCTACAAACAACAAATGCTGGAGAGGGTGTGGAGAAAAGGGAACCCTCTTGCACTGTTGGTGGGAATGTAAATTGATACAGCCAGCCACTATGGAGAACAGTATGGAGGTTCCTTAAAAAACTAAAAATAGAATTAACATATGACTAAGCAATCCCGCTACTGGGCATATACCCAGAGAAAACCATAGTTCAAAAAGACACGTGCACCCCAATGTTCATTGCAGCACTATTTACAATAGCCAGGTCATGGAAGGAACCTAAATGCCCATCGACAGATGAATGGATAAAGAAGATGTGGTACATATATACCATGGAATATTACTCAGCCATAAAAAGGAACAAAATTGGGTCATTTGTAGAGACGTGGATGGATCCAGAGACTGTCATACAGAGTGAAGTAAGTCAGAAAGAGAAAAACAAATATCGTATATTAATGCATATATGTGGAACCTAGAAAAATGGTACAGATGAACCAGTTTGCAGGGCAGAAATAGAGACACAGATGTAGAGAACAAATGTATGGACACCAAGGGGGGACAGTGGCGAGGGTGGTGGTGGTGGTGGTGTGATGCATTAGGTGATTGGGATTGACATATATACACTAATATGTATAAAATAGATAACTAATAGGAACATGCTGTATAATAAAATAAGTTAAAAAAAAGATTATCATTTAAGCTGAGACAAGCTCTGCTACTTAAATAGGTACATGGAGAGAGAGTGATGAGGTAGTAAATTCCTACCTTATCAGGCACTGAGTAGAAAGCATAAATGTTTTTAAACCCTCTTTCCCCGAAAGGAAGCAAAACATACATGATTGTATTGATGTGACTTGATTCATGAATTATGCAAATATTTACTGAATTGCCGGACACTATTATAAGCCGTGGGCATGCAGTAGGGAAAAAAGCCAGGGCCCTGGCACCCTAATGTGCAGATTCTAGTGAGGGGCTCTGCAGAGAATAGACAAGTTATAACGTGGGTATGTCTCCTGGTGTATGAGCACCGTGAAGCTCATTTAAGGGCAGGGGCAGTCAAGGAAGAAGGGCTTGCTGAAGAGACATTTGGGGGAAAAAGAATTTTCTTATTACATTTTTGAAAAAGCAGTAACTTAAAATAATTAGTAACAAATATTTCACAGTAAGGCCAAAGAAACCCAAGCACCACACCCTAGACATGCAAGTCCTTTTGCACCGCTGGGCAGACAGTCCTTCTTTCAAAGGTGATTCTGTAAGATATGCTAACATGGATTTCTTTTGCTCTATCACTGGCAGCGGCCCTGAAAGAGCCTGACTCTTTGGAATTTTGATAGAATGATACTTCAAATAGAGGCTTTAGCCACAGGCCATCAGGGAAGGTGTGTGAATATAGGTGTTTGTTTATGATTTGCACTTTCACCTTTCATTATAGGGTGAAAAAGGAGCTATGGGAGAGCCGGGACCCCGAGGACCGTATGGTCTTCCCGTGAGTTCTCTTGTCTCGCAATGGTGTTTCCCTTCAGCATGTATAGATGACCTGTCCCTGGCATGGTTAACCCTCCCCTCGTGGGGAGACTAATCCCATTAGAGGAGCAAAGAACAATCCACTAAGTCTCTTCAACACCAATGTAACTGTGTACTTCAGAGATAGGTCATATTTGTGTCGTATTCTTACACTCACATACAGACACCCACACACTTCACCAGTTTGAGAGGATCAGAGGTTGTCCATGAGATGGACAGTGCTAACCTGAAAGGGGGCTTTTGACTGTCAGATAACCCCTCCTTGGGCCATCTGACCAGACCCATAATAGGCCCTTCCTTGGGAGGTCATTGTACCAGAAGTGGGTGTGGAAGCTTAGTTTTAAAAACTCTCTTCAGACTTTATCTGTTCTTATATATCACTTACAAAAACTGCTCTTGCTAATAAAAGGTATTTCTCAGATTGATGTTTCTGATGACTTTGATGTTTCTGACCTTTCTAAATTACCGTGATGACAAGTGATCTTCAGAACAGAGAAGGTTGATAGTGTTCTATCTTCTGAAAATTCTCAATGACACCCACTTCAAATTGAGAGCCTCGGGTTTGCTTCAGAATATTATCTTTGGGATAATTGTAAATGATTTGATGGGGTAGGGTAGAACTACAGTAGAAGCATATACTGTTGTCTCAAGGTTTATAACCCCTATGTATTTTCCAGGTACCTTGTACTTCCTAGTTTTTATGAATTGAAATAATAAGCTCAAACCATGATTACTTGAGTGCTAAAAGAGATGCTGATTTTGAAATAGATTTCGAAATCTAACTGGTGGAATCAAAGCAACTTCTCAGCAACTTTTGGGTGGATTTGTTGTGTGATTTTCAATGCCCTGAAAATCTGCTCCACGGGGCTCAATGGATCATCCTTGCACAGCAGTATTATATTCCTTCTATCATAGGGGGTCATTAATTTACTAACAGTTTTTAATCTGTGATCTTCACACCCACAGTATTTATAGACAAGGTGTACATCTAGCCACATTAAAATTGTATTTAACAATAAACAGTTTTCACATTCTTTACACACTTATGAGCTAACTACTAAGTTGTCAAACTAAAGTAGCATAGATTTGCTTATAATGTTAGTGCTGGTGTGTTTTTAAATCCGTAAAAATCAGTATTTTTGCTTTTGACTTACTCTTAGATTGATAACTTGAATACCAAGCATTAAACTTCAGCAAAATATCAGACTATTTAACCTGATATAGAATAAAAACATTTTCATGACACTTACCTGCAACATTAACAGTCACTTCTCTTGATTTACTGAAAGAAATTTGTGTTACTAATCAATAGAGAATCTTTTTCACATTTCTGAATTAGTTGTTTTTATACTAGTGTTGCATGTCCAGGCAGCCTTAAATAGAATAATAACCTATTCGTGAAACTTAGGAACACTAATGTAGCTACTATGATTCTTTGGCAGGGGAAAGATGGAGAGCCTGGTCTTGATGTAAGTAATACCTACAATGAACATCTTCCCATTATAATGGATGCTGATGGTCTTCATCATCAATAACAGCAAGAATACTTCTAATATTTTTCTGTGCACATAGTTATGTGGACAGCATATATTGCTGTGTGTGTAGACAGCAATATGAAATGAACCACTAGGGTTGGCATGAGATAGACATAAAAGCAAAAAGCATAATTATCTAGTATGAAATTAATAACTGACAGTTGATAGAGGCACTTCAAAATACTTTCCCAAATCAGACACTCAACATGAGTGGGTTAAATTACTTATTTTAAAATATGCATAAAATCGAAGTATCTTTCACATGCCACCCTTAGGGAATGGTATGTTTATTCTCAAAGCTATTATGCAGTATTTTTCTTTTTAGCATAAAGTCTCTATATATCTTATAGCAACATAATTCTATAAAAATAGAGAATGTCGAAAGTCAATCCCTCCTAAAATGATTACTGCTCATCCTGTATATATGTGAATAATAGCAGTAGCAAAAAGTAATAGTAGTTACTCTTTATTGGGCACCATTTGTATGCAGACATCATTCTGTACTTTATATATATCATCACATTTAATGCTCACACCAGCAGATGTGTAGTATTAATAGGTATTAACCTCGTTTTATGGTCAAAGGACTAAAATGGTGAAGTAAGTTCGCCCGCAGTCCCACAAGTCAGAGAACTTGCCAGGATTCAAACTAGGATCCTGATATTCTCTCCACTATACATTTCTTTGGAGAAAAAGCAAGAAACCTTTTGTTTACAGATATTTGAGATGTTAGGAAACTGTTATTTCTAAGTGCCACTTTACCCATCTAAGTTTTGAGACTTGAGGGCATGCCATGTTTCTTTATTTGCATTCAGAAACATGAATTCTTAAGGTTTTTTTCAATATGGTGTTGCCACAGTTATACCAATAGATCTTTTTGGTTTGCTTTTTATCCTATAGGGTTTCCCTGGTCCACGAGGCGAGAAGGGTGATCTAGGAGAAAAGGGGGAAAAGGTGACCTCTCCAGCCTAGCATGTGCCTGTTTGATTTTTCTGCTTCTGTCTGCTTTGCTGTTCAACCTGTGTTAATTCTTTCATACATCTAATCTTTCTCCATCCTGTGCTCCAAAAACGCTCTGATGTCTGATCTGAGGAACCACATCTTCACAGAGGAATAAAGGCTACACTGCAAGAAATAAGGGCACTGTTAACACAGAAGAAAAGAATTATAATCCCCAGATATCTGGGCTACAATCTTTGGACTACCTGACGCCAATTAATTGAAAGATGAAGTTTTCAGGGGTTTTTGAAAATGGGGGTGGGGGAGGCATTTATGACATTAAGTAAAATTGAATAGCACAAATCTGCAACAGTCTTCTGGCAGAGCTCAGCTAACCCTGTGAATTCAGCATCTCATTCATCTTCACAACATTCCCAGTAGAGACAGAAGATATGTCCTGTATCTTGATTTTTTTTTTTTTTTTTTTTTTTGATTGGAAAGTGGAAGGCAAGCAGTATGCCCGATAAACCCAGTGAGTCCATTACGCAGGGACCAGGACTTGTTGCCTTCGGACGCTGTAGATACTTTTTTTCTTTTTTCTTTTTTTTTTTTTTGCGGTACGCGGGCTTCTCATTCTTGCGGCCTCTCACATTGCGGAGCACAGGCTCTGGACGCGCAGGCTCAGCGGCCATGGCTGACGGGCCCAGCCGCTCCGCGGCATATGGGATCTTCCCGGACCTGGGCACGAACCCGCGTGCCCTGCATTGGCAGGCGGACTCAACCACTGCGCCACCAGGGAAGCCCGTGAATACTTTTTGTATATCATTCTTTGACATGGGAGACAAAAATTAGCAAGAGCCTTTATGTGTTCATACCCACAAAGACAGATAGTTACAAAACTATGCTGATTAATAATAACACTGAGACATTGTCCTCTGTAAAAGTGTCTGTTTTCCATAAAGCCTGAGGTTCACTAGAATATTACTGAAAAACGATTCCCAGAGCCTGTTAAAGTCAACATTCATATGACAACACTTTCCGTTGAGTGATTATTCTGAGTTGATTAACCAATCAAAAAATGAATTGAGTCCAAAATTAATAATACCCAACACATCTGGTGTCAGTCACACCTATGTGAAGAAGAGTCCACTCCCTCCCAATGAAGTTTAAATCAATTTTACTTCACGGCAATGATGTTACTTGCTGAGGAAGAATGTCGATTCATCTTGCACGAGTGAGCAATTTACTCCCGAAAGCTCCTCCCATCTTACTTCTTATCACACCTGCTCTCATTTCATTTCACCCTGGCATCTCGGGTCTTTGTTTTTGATCATGATCAACTAAACCACACAGAAGTTCTCTCTTTCCCCGATATTAGAGAAACCCAAATGGCTTTGATTCTGAGCCTTCTGATGCAATGTTTTTGGCACACAGGAGATAAATGTGGAGCTTTCACTCACACAGAAAGGATGCATTAATTTGAGTGCATATCTCATCTATATCTCTTATGTATATGTCTTTGAATATTCATGTTGTTTCGCTTCTGAAATTATTCAGACTTATTGTATCTGCCATCCTGATTGCAGAATGAATACACTAATTTAAATATGTATTGCATAGTATTTTGTATTCTGTACTGCACCAGCTTCTTGTCTATAAATATGCAGAGATATTTGTTAATGTGAAACAGCTGAGGTGCATTCCTTACTTCTCCTCCTTTTGCCTCCTTTCCTTAATTCCTCCATCCCTATGAGCCATGCAGCTTTCCACAACCTTTACCTTGATTCCTAAATACTAATTTCCATGGCTACATTCCCACCATGTAATTATCCTGCCTACCTCATTTTTAGCATTAGCTCAACTGAATCCAAACTGCTTTTCCTCTCTTGAACAGAATTTTTTTGTTTTGTTTTTTTGGCTTTTGTTACCTTGTGAGCAAGCTGGAAACCCATTTACCATTGTGAACACCTGGCATGAGACCAATAACAGTGAATTAAAGAACATCTTTGAGTTTATAAACAAGTCTGTTTCTCCAAGTGGCATTGCTGAGAAATCTTAGCACTTTTAAAATTTGTTTATCTGACTTACTAAGGAAAGTATTTGCTTTTAGTTTCCTTAAAAAGAATGTTAAAAGAAAGAGTATATTTTTAACACACTGAATATGTTTAAATGAGAACTAACTACAAAAAATAATGTCAGAAAGTTGGATTCATTTCAAAAAGATAGAAACTGCCAAGATTTTTTCCTTTTCCTCTGGCTCAATGTAGCTTTCATCTGTTATAGGATTAGAAAAAAAGCAAGTTGGCAGGTACTGAAAATTGGGTGAAGTCTCCATTATTCCTCTGAACTTCACTGCCACTGGCTGGATTCAATACACTTGGTATCTGTCATCTTCACCAAAGCGGTGGCGGGAACACCTCATTCACAAGGACCACGGCACTGGGGTCTAAGTCAGCACTGATCCTCCTTCCTGATGTGTCAGGCTTCAAGTTCTTTCATCTTGTTGAATCTTTTTAATAAAATCCTGTACATCACTGCCCAGAATCCATTGCCACTCTGGAAGTCTGTTATTTTTCATAATATCATGCCTTACCTAAACCAGAAAACAGTGGTAAATGCCCTTCCAGACTTTTATTGGCTAAACCATCTTTTGAATCACCGTTACTTCCCCCCGCCCCCCCAAAATAAAACCTGTCTTATTTAAACCCTTGTATCCACAGGGGGAAAAGGGAAAGAAAGGCAAAAAGGGGCCTAAAGGGGAGAAAGGAGAACAGGGTGCTCCTGGATTAGATGCACCCTGCCCGTTGGTATGTCTGACTCATGCAACCGTCTCCAGATGTCACATGCGGAGGCAAAGCTGGGAGAGGAGCAAACTGGAGGGACCGCACCAGCGGGGGTTCTGATTGGCATCTTTTAACGTAGACTTTAAGGTCCCAGAAACATCGATAGCAGGCTGTCAGTGTGTTCCACCCCTTGTCTCTGGCCACCAGCTATGCCTGGTTTCTCAACACTCAAGTATTGATGTGCATCCGGGGCATGAATGCGGGATCGGAGGAGGAACCCGTGCTCCTCAGTCCTGCTCCGGAGAGCAGGTCCCCATTCCCAGAGAAGCGCTAGTTGTAGGACCACATCAAGCTCTGTTTTGTTTTGTCCAGCATCACTGGATGTTACCTTTCCCTTCAGAGTTGCTCCTCTCCCAGCCTTTTGTTATTGTGGTTATTTCATTAGCAGAAATTGTGCTTAAGTGATTTCTTCTGTTTAGTAACATTATGAGTTAATCTTTACAAACAGGGATTCCGTGGCGTTAAGGGGGAAAAAGGGGAGCCAGGCCAGCCTGGCCTGGATGGGCTGGATGCCCCTTGCCAATTGGTACAGTATTTCTCTTTCCTACCACCCTGCATGCAATTCCTTTGTTTATTACATATTCATCTCTCTCAGTGTAAAGTGGTACTTCTGGAGCAAGCTTTACATGATAAACACACTACATGCATGTGCATGAATAGCTCCTTCAGTGACTGCAGAGTGAAAAGAGCATGCACGCATTTCAATCAGTGACTGCAAATTAATCTCCTGACATTGTTCTCACAACTGACACAGCTGCCACGTCTGTGTTCTGGGGAATGTCAATTTATCTAATAACCATTTCAAGCTGACATTAAAAGTGCATAAAAATCTTCTATGTAAAGGTACAACTAGGCTATAACTTTGGGTTTTACCCCTAAAGTTATCTTTTTTTTTTTTTTTTTCCTTAAAAGAAATAAAGGCATTTTTGCCTTTCACTAAATTTCTGTCAGGCTGTAAATAAAACCAAACCTACATGGTTGAGCTTCTGTGGTCAAGACTTAACCAATTCAAAGGAATGCTGTTAAGAGACCGTAGGGGAGAAAACCAAACTTCTCTGAGCTTCTAAAGATAATAGTCTGCAGCCCAAACCCTCTTCTTTGTCACATAACCTTTTCAGTTTAATGGTCCCTCCTTTTGAAACTCACTTTTCTAAAGTAGACAGATCTCCCCTACCTCCATTGGCATGTCAAAACCCTTATACTAAAATCTAAAATTCTACCGGGTGACCCTTCTCCTTGTACCAATCTGGCATTACCGATTTTTTTCCCAAATATCTTATAAAGTTATTTCAAGGTGTTTTTTTTTTTTTACATTTAAAAAGAAAGTGTATGCAAATTTTCTGAGGTGTAAAGGAAAACTTTTTATGACTGTGTTAATGGTTATACTTGGTCTGCATGTTCTTATATTATTCTTAAATACTAAGCATGATTCTTTAAAGATAAATTTGTTTCTCAAGTCTTTTAAGAGATTGTATTGTAGAAGAAAATGTTATTCAGTCAATAATTGCAACTAGAAAATGTCAATATGATATGCCCAGTCTTTTATTTTGTTTGCTTGGTATTGACAATAAATAATATTTTACAATCATTTTGTTGGGGGAAAACACAAGCATGCTTCATAATATATCAACTCTTCCTGCCTTATTTATATCATTTGTATCTGAAGAGTGCTTACCCTTTAAGTGAAAATAAATTTTGTGACATTTAAGAATCCCTTGTTTATTCAGAATTTGTTAATTGTCTTCTGAAGAATTTTAATTTAAAAATTGAGAAAGGCTGTGGATAACATTTTACCATAAAGATATAGACTGGCTGCCTCTCTTTTGATTCAATCAATTTAACGTTTTACTTTATCTGCTTTCAATATAGAAAAGTTGAAAGATGCTCCACGGGAAGAGCTATAAACTTCAGATAGAAATGGTTCATCACTGATTACTCATCATTATCGTGCATTCAGCCATAGAACATAGTGACCAGGAAGAGAAGTTATTTCCATTTATTGAATAAAGACAATTATAGAATGCGTTTTAATGAAATTAAGAGAAATAGTACAGTTATTATCTAAAGATATAACTAAGTAGACCACTAGGTTTTACAAATTATTACCCAAAGTTAAGTATAAATCTTTCTATATTTTATTTATTTGAAAAATATGTACTCACTTTGGAAAACATTCGAATGTTGGGTAATATCTTGGGAGTTGATTATTAGTAAAAGATGCCTATGACTAATGCCACCAACAGGTAGATATTCATTTTTAAGCCTCTGGGCATATTAATTATGAAGTATGATCACTTTCGTGGAACCTGAGGAATTCTTATTCTTCTTTTTAAAATAGGGGCCAGATGGATTACCCATGCCCGGCTGTTGGCAAAAGGTAGGCTTTACAGAATTATTTCTAAAAGAAGCACTGTCCCTTTCTCTG